ACGTTAATATTGTTCGAGTCTCATTAGTCACGTTAATATTGTTCGATCTTTCGCTTTGAACGTGTTTTATTATTATTACTGCCTTCACCCCCGGGATTGGCCCAAAATCTGTGCTTTTGGCGTGTCCATGTGTCCAGTCAAGCATCACATTCCTACAGCTTTACTAGGCTTTAGTTCCCGGATACCCGTCTTAGAAATGTCCGGTTGAGTCTCTCAATCGGGTTATCAGTTTAGATTATCTTATAAAAGCCGGACAAGCGGCGCCCTTTTCCCTGCTAATGTTTCTACGGAGAGAGGAAATCCTTCACAAAGTGGCGTCACCTGGGGGTGCGGCCCTGGCATTTTGTTTTTCTGATTCTACTGGGAAAAAGCCCTTAGAAAGTGGCGGCACTAGACATGTAGGACTGAGTCCGGTAACATCAACACAGAAGTTTGACACTCAAGGTGACACTAAGGGACATAGGGTGACACTCAAGGTGACACTAAGGGACATAGGGTGACACTCAAGGTGACACTAAGGGTCATAGGGTGACACTCAAGGTGACACTAAGGGACATAGGGTGACACTCAAGGTGACACTAAGGGTCATAGGGTGACACTCAAGGTGACACTAAGGGACATAGGGTGACACTCAAGGTGACACTAAGGGTCATAGGGTGACACTCAAGGTGACACTAAGGGACATAGGGTGACACTCAAGGTGACACTAAGGGACATAGGCTGACACTCAAGGTGACACTAAGGGACATAGGGTGACACTCAAGGTGACACTAAGGGACATAGGGTGACACTCAAGGTGACACTAAAGGTGACACTAAGGGACATAGGGTGACACTCAAGGTGACACTAAGGGACATAGGGTGACACTCAAGGTGACACTAAGGGACATAGGGTGACACTCAAGGTGACACTCAAGGTGACACTAAGGGACATAGGGTGACACTCAAGGTGATACTAAGGGACATAGGGTGACACTTAAGGTGACACTACATAGGGTGACACTCAAGGTGACACTAAGGGACATAGGGTGACACTCAAGGTGACACTAAGGGTCATAGGGTGACACTCAAGGTGACACTAAGGGACATTTGGTGACACTCAAGGTGACACTAAGGGACATAGGGTGACACTCAAGGTGACACTAAGGGACATAGGGTGACACTCAAGGTGACACTAAGGGACATAGGGTGACACTCAAGATGACACTAATGGACATAGGGTGACACTCAAGGTGACACTGAAGGTGACACTAAGGGACATAGGGTGACACTCAAGGTGACACTAAGGGACATAGGGTGACACTCAAGGTGACACTAAGGGACATAGGGTGACACTCAAGGTGACACTCAAGGTGACACTAAGGGACATAGGGTGACACTCAAGGTGATACTAAGGGACATAGGGTGACACTTAAGGTGACACTACATAGGGTGACACTCAAGGTGACACAAGGGACATGTGGTAACACTCAAGGTGACACTAAAGGACATGTGGTGACACTCAAGGTGACACTACATAGGGTGACACTCAAGGTGACACTACATAGGGTGACACTCAAGGTGACACTAAGGGACATAGGGTGACACTCAAGGTGACACTAGGGACAAAGGGTGACACTCTAGGTGACACTAAGGGACATAGGGTGACACTCAAGGTGACACTAAGGGACATAGGGTGACACTCAAGGTGACACAAGGGACATAGGGTGACACTCAAGGTGACACTAAGGGACATAGGGTGACACTCAAGGTGACACTAAGGGTCATAGGGTGACACTCAAGGTGACACTAAGGGACATAGGGTGACACTCAAGGTGACACTAAGGGTCATAGGGTGACACTCAAGGTGACACTAAGGGACATAGGGTGACACTCAAGGTGACACTAAGGGTCATAGGGTGACACTCAAGGTGACACTAAGGGACATAGGGTGACACTCAAGGTGACACTAAGGGACATAGGCTGACACTCAAGGTGACACTAAGGGACATAGGGTGACACTCAAGGTGACACTAAGGGACATAGGGTGACACTCAAGGTGACACTAAAGGTGACACTAAGGGATATAGGGTGACACTCAAGGTGACACTAAGGGACATAGGGTGACACTCAAGGTGACACTAAGGGACATAGGGTGACACTCAAGGTGACACTCAAGGTGACACTAAGGGACATAGGGTGACACTCAAGGTGATACTAAGGGACATAGGGTGACACTTAAGGTGACACTACATAGGGTGACACTCAAGGTGACACTAAGGGACATAGGGTGACACTCAAGGTGACACTAAGGGTCATAGGGTGACACTCAAGGTGACACTAAGGGACATTTGGTGACACTCAAGGTGACACTAAGGGACATAGGGTGACACTCAAGGTGACACTAAGGGACATAGGGTGACACTCAAGGTGACACTAAGGGACATAGGGTGACACTCAAGATGACACTAATGGACATAGGGTGACACTCAAGGTGACACTGAAGGTGACACTAAGGGACATAGGGTGACACTCAAGGTGACACTAAGGGACATAGGGTGACACTCAAGGTGACACTAAGGGACATAGGGTGACACTCAAGGTGACACTCAAGGTGACACTAAGGGACATAGGGTGACACTCAAGGTGATACTAAGGGACATAGGGTGACACTTAAGGTGACACTACATAGGGTGACACTCAAGGTGACACAAGGGACATGTGGTAACACTCAAGGTGACACTAAAGGACATGTGGTGACACTCAAGGTGACACTACATAGGGTGACACTCAAGGTGACACTACATAGGGTGACACTCAAGGTGACACTAAGGGACATAGGGTGACACTCAAGGTGACACTAGGGACAAAGGGTGACACTCTAGGTGACACTAAGGGACATAGGGTGACACTCAAGGTGACACTAAGGGACATAGGGTGACACTCAAGGTGACACAAAGGGACATAGGGTGACACTCAAGGTGACACTAAGGGACATGTGGTGGCACTCAGGGACATAGCGTGACACTAAGGGACATAGGGTGACACTCAAGCTGACACAAGGGACATGTGGTGACACTCAAGGTGACACTAAGGGACATGTGGTGACACTCAAGGTGACACAAGGGACATGTGGAGACACTCTAGGTGACACTAAGGGACATAGGGTGACACTCAAGGTGACACAAAGGGACATAGGGTGACACTCAAGGTGACACTAAGGGACATGTGGTGGCACTCAGGGACATAGCGTGACACTAAGGGACATAGGGTGACACTCAAGGTGACACTAAGGACATAGGGTGACACTCAAGGTGACACAAGGGACATGTGGTGACACTCAAGGTGACACTAAGGGACATGTGGTGACACTCAAGGTGACACTAAGGGACATGTGGTGACACTCAAGGTGACACCAGGGACATGTGGTGACACTCAAGGTGACACAAGGGACATGTGGTGACACTCAAGGTGACACGAGGGACATGTGGTGACACTCAGTGTGGCGATTTTTACGCTGCCGAAATGGGTATCAATGATGTTACAGCATTGGGCAAGAACATGACATTATTATGCTAAAACAAGAGGTTTTGTAACAAACTTCTATATTTCTATAGCCCGATTGCTCTAAAAGTACCTTCCTCCTAACTAAAAACTTACATTTGTATATGAAATTTCGTAAACCTAACTGAAACCGTACTCAAGTTATCTTGTTTACAAACAGACAGACGGACAAGATTGCAAAACGGTTTTTCCTGCTCCACAATGTATAAATAAAACGTCGATATTTTTCGAAATCTCGATAGTTTTTTTTTTTGCACGCTTACAATTCATTATTTTTATTCCGTATATATTCGATAAACTAGAGAGGTGTAAAGCGTCGAAAACTGTCAAAATCTCATTTAATTTTTGTGTACGCTTACTTGGTGAGAAAGCAAAAGTCTGATAGCTGGGGGTTAAAATCGGGTAAAATGCGTAGATTCTGAGAAAATTACATCGTAGGCCTACATCAGTTCTAATGTGGCGATATACACTTAATTTTGATGCAGACCTTTATACATTTTAAATTTTGTAGTACTACAGGCCTATAAGTAGCCGCATCTCCGAAAACGTATTTAAAATTCAATGAATCCGATTTTTGATTGAACAACATCTTTGAATACCACCTTGTTTGACACAATCAGCTTTTCCAGGCATCTCGGAGGGGGGGGGGGAGCTTCCACCCCCCCCCCCCATTCCCCCGAAGAAAGTCTACCGCTCCCCTTCCCCCCGAACGAAATGGAATGTATATAGGAAATGAAAATACATTCTTTTACCACTGTCCAACGCCCCCTCCCCCAGTGTTTCTTGCAGACTTTTTTCTCCGGGGGGGGGGGGCACTTGAAATTTTCGGGGGGGGGGGGCGGTAAACTTTCTTCGGGGGGCGGACACTGTTAAAAGTATATATTTTCTATATAAATTATATAAATTTCATTTGGTTCGGGGGGGGGGGGGGGAAAGAGGGGGCGGTAAAAAAAATTTCGGGGGGGCTCCTGGAAGAAACTCTGCCCCCCCCCCTTTTTTTTACTCCACCCCCCCCCCCCACCCCCGGAGAAAAAAGTCTGAAAGAAACACTAGAAACAGTTCGAATCGAATTGCGGTTAGGCGTAGAATCTAGGTTTAAATTGAAATGACTAATTTATACCGTGTAGATGACTGAAGCAGTTTTTTACGTTAGCGTAAAAATAACTGACATCACCTTTTTCATGGTATGACGAATGATTTGAAGTTTCTGTATGCACCCTTAGTGGCCCCTCAAAGAGAAAGTGTAACAAAACAAATGGATTAAACACAACATTAATTAATCAGTCGTTTATTAAAAAAACATGAGGCCGTATTCGAATAAAAGCCCAAAATCTAATAATTATTAATATTATACTATTATAGCTATTGGGCATATTAATTTATTATGTATTATGAAAATAAAGAAAAAATACATCGTTTGTTTTGTTGAAAGATACGGAAGTTGCAACAACCTAATTTTATTGGATGGAAGATTTCGTTGTTTTCTTTTTAATACAGTAAATACTTTAAATTTGCCATGACTAATACGCCTAAAAGTTCTATTAAAAATCTATGATGGTACGTGCTCATTTTTAGGTTTTACAGATTAATTAATATTTACCAGAGTTCCAGATCTAATTAGTAATTACTAATTAGCATTACGAATTAAACTGACATTTTACTTTTAAGTAATAAGTAGCCAACAACACAAAATCAAAATCAAAATAAATGTGTTATTTTTTTTGTTACACAAACACATGATTTCAGATTAGTTAGAGAAGTTAGAGTCGTTCCGGTTTCAGATCTAGATCTATGAAGTTTAGTCAAGTTTACTTTTTAGTGAGGTGATTAGAATTGAATCATTAGATGATTCAATTGCATAGTAATCTAAGCCCTAAACTAAATCTAATACTAATAGATCTAGATCTAATCTAGATTCTAGATCTAACTAATAATTTTTAGAAAGGCATTTTCATTTGATGAAAATTTCAAAATTATTTTTGTGGGAATTTTTATACCAATGTCCGATAATAGAATCTTCTTTAAGAAACGGGGTGTTACTTGTTAGGTTACTTGTAGTTAACTAACTAAAGTTTACTAAAGACACACATGGCTGGCTAATGTCAATGCTAACCCTGTCCCTAATCCCAACTCTAGTGCCTAACCCTAATATTAGTAATTTGTAACCTTAAAATTAGTCGAGCTCACAAATACTACTAACAACCCAACACACCTATTTTATGGAAGAGTCTATATTCGGACATTGGTATCTAAAATCATCCATAATTTTTTGTAAAAAAATTTATCAATAACAGCTAGCACACTAGTAAAGCCAATTTAGCATATATTAACTTTCTGTGCAAAGTCATTATTACTGAAAAAAAATTCCCAAGTCACGTCAGCTTCTGGCACACTCCACTGAAGGAAAAAAATACTTGACCTGTGACCTTCTTTAAAACATAATAATAAAGAAAATGTAAACATTCTTATCATTCTATTTTTAGGTATGACATTAAAAAATAGTCTTAAATCGAGCCAAATTATTGGATTCTTGCGCGGCACACTTTTTCACGCCCCTCGTTTTCACCCACCCAAAAAGAATATAACAAAATGGTATTATTAAGTTATGATCATTTAAGCGTAACACATCTCATAAACACAATAAATTATTACCAGTTAATTGTAATGTGTGTAAAATTAATGCTTTCAAGTTTAGTATTCACATAGGCTGGTTTGGTATTGAAGCAGTATTTCAAAGTTTTTTGATTTTAAAGACAAGAATAACATAACATAACACCAAGGCGACGCTTGCGTATTGAAAGTGAAACTGGTCACCATTTTAGTAAGTGCATGGGCTGTGAGATGGCACGAAAACAACAAACCCGGAAGTTGTGAAACAAATGGCCTACTAATAGGTCTAGTACTAAGTAAGAAGTAGTTGTACTATATTATAGTAGGCCTACGTAGTAGTTATATTAGGTAATCTATCGTTTTAGGTACATACAATTTTCCAAGGCAAGTAATGTGCAAGAAAGATGACTTATTAATTTGGCTTTAATACAAATATATTTTGTGATATATTTGTGTCAAATATTATACATAATTGAATAATAAACCAAAACAAGCATTGGTTGATTGTCTAAATATAACTAAATAAATAATAATAGGCCAGAAATTAACTTTAAATAGCAGGATTTGAGAGCAAAATTGAAAATTTGACATCATATGTAAATTAGAGTGGTTTCCCATGAATCTCTAACAATAAGTTGACAAAAAATAAACTTAAATAAGATGGCTAAGATAATAACTACATTTGTCCTGTAGTTGTTGATGTCGATGTGTAATGCAGAAAGCGATTTTTAGACACAAAATGTGTGTGTTTTTGAATTTTGTCATACAAAAATGTAACATCAATATATCGCAAGATTTTTTTAGTCAGGTTTAAATTTTGAAATTTAATTTCAAATAAAAAAGTAATCATCATATTTCTAGTTAGGTTTAAGAATTTTCCTCTGCTACTGCCAAAATAAAGCACTAAGATTAAGGTCAACACCTTAACACTTCATTGTTGGTCTTTTGTGCAAAGAACTGCCTTTTGACTAGAGAAAAGTCTGGGATTAGGTTTGCTCTGAATAAAATTAGGCTAGGGCTGAATGGTTTAGTGATTTAGGGAAAAAATGTGAATAAGTGACATTTTTTTGTCCAGACTTTGTAATGTAACTCCTATCATTATATTAATGGATTTGCATCTTGTTATAAATTGTTAAAATAAAATTTCATGTATAGTAAAAAAAACTAAAGACCTTGAAACCATTAGCAAAACATGTACACTTTAAAGCAAGTGGCTGGCTTATCACTGAATGTCACGGTTTTATCACCCAAGTGGGTGATAGATTCCTTTTTTTCAATTCTTCCCACCCTGTTCACATTCTGATCTTTGTACATAGACCTTGACCTTGATCTGAGATAAGGGCCCTCTCAAGTGACTGAAAATAAAACCTAGTCTGTTGTCTACCAGAGTTTGACAAGTTATTGGACTTTGGACACAGTTGTATCACTGCTTGGTTCAATGGCTGTTTGACTGACTGGCTGCTAGTCGAGTTTTTTCTTGTGTGCTGCTGTGTGAGGACTCTTTCACTAACCATTCAGGTATGCTTGGTGTATTATTTCTTGCAGTTCACTACCAATACAGGTATTGTTGTGTGTATTATTTCTTGCAGTTCACTACCCATACAGGTTACTGTTGTGTGTATTATTTCTTGCAGTTCACTACCCATACAGGTTACTGTTGTGTGTATTATTTCTTGCAGTTCACTACCCATACAGGTTACTGTTGTGTGTATTATTTCTTGCAGTTCACTACCAATACAGGTATTGTTGTGTGTATTATTTCTTGCAGTTCACTCCCCATACAGGTATTGTTGTGTGTATTATTTCTTGCAGTTCACTACCCATACAGGTTACTGTTGTGTGTATTATTTCTTGCAGTTCACTACCAATACAGGTATTGTTGTGTGTATTATTTCTTGCAGTTCACTCCCCATACAGGTATTGTTGTGTGTATTATTTCTTGCAGTTCACTACCCATACAGGTTACTGTTGTGTGTATTATTTCTTGCAGTTCACTACCAATACAGGTATTGTTGTGTGTATTATTTCTTGCAGTTCACTCCCCATACAGGTATTGTTGTGTGTATTATTTCTTGCAGTTCACTACCCATACAGGTTACTGTTGTGTGTATTATTTCTTGCAGTTCACTCCCCATACAGGTATTGTTGTGTGTAACCATTCAGTAAACATTTCCAGTATTGTAGTGTGTAGTTTTATTTATGTGCTGTGGTGTGTCTGCTACTGATAGTGCTAATAGGATTTCCATCAAGTCTGGGCTACAACCATCACACTCTAAAGTACCACTTAAAAACATGAAGATTTTCATCTTGCCACTTCTGGCTCTGTGATTTAGTCAAAAGTTATCAATAACATTTACATACACAAACAAAATTCTGAAAGAAATTTATTTCAATTAATAGTTGTTGTACTTTTTGGCCTATTTTTTAAGAGGTAAAAAATAATTAAGCTAAGTTGTAGAAATGTACCTCTTAAAGTGATACTTTATGTGTAACCTCTGTCTATTTCATCAGTCTAATTGAGATTACTTTAAGCTACCTGTAGTTAGCTCAGGTAAACAAACTCTAGCTGCTGTTTGCAGTGGGTTAAGCAAACAACTATTTGCTTCAGGACCAACATTTGTCTTTGTGTGTACCTGAGTGCAGGCATAGCCTCCATTAAAAAAAACATTTTATTCATTTAATATAGGTAATGATTATACTATACAGTTTTTAACCTCTTTCTCATTTTTAAAAAATATTCTAAAATCACACGTAATTGTTAGAACAAAATGATATCCATCGTTGCTGATTTTTTACAAAAATTTAGTCTGTTAATTACATAACCATAATGAGAATTGATATCTGCTTGGGATGTATTTCTGAGATAAGATACAAAGTTAGATTGATACCATATTTTTTGTGTCATCCATAGCTTCAAATCTGAATATTTTGTGTGTTGAGAGTCTGTCCACGTAGCCAGTATGTCATCAGAACTTGTGGTCACTTCGCTGGTGTACGTCTTAAAGGCTTTGGCCTTCGTGTTTGATGTGGTGACCTACATACCCTACTTCATCATCCAGAGGCCAGACAAAGTTGTAACAAAGTCTAAAAGACTCAAGGTAAGCTTTTGTCATCATTACCAGACTAGTGAAAGGCTGGGAACAATGGCTCTTCAGAGTTGTCCTGCTGGAGTATGGGCCACCAACTACAGTTCTCCAGAGTTCTCTGTCCTGCTGGAGTATGGGCCACCAACTACAGCTCTCCAGAGTTCTCTGTCCTGCTGGAGTATGGGCCACCAACTACAGCTCTCCAGAGTTTGGCTGCCAACAGTTGACTTGATGCTGACCCACCTTGATAGTGTCTGCCTTAGGCAGGGCTGCCTACTTGTACGGTTTTGCCCGTAACTTTACGATTTTGACACCCAGGTTACGGAATTACGATTTTGCTGCAAAATTACGGTTTTGATTTCAGTAGAGATCAAAATCGACTTTAGTGTAAAAAAAAATAATTCTGGTGGTAACTTAACTTTATGTTCCCGGTCTGAGTTTTATATTTTAATTTAGCTAGTTATATATCACTAATATCAGTGTGTTATTCGGTTCTAAGGTTCTCAGCCTCTTCCGTAACAATCCTCCCTCCCCCTTCCCTTCCCGCTCCTGTCATGGCTGGCGGCAGTCGTGTTTATATTGTGAACTATTGACCCCGCGATTATGAGTCGGTGTTGTCCGTAGAGAAAAAAAAAGGGCGTGGCCTAAATCATTGAAAGTCTCATCGCGCAGTCTGGCGAGACATATTTGCTGAGGCGGTATTACGGCTAAATGCCTAAATAGCGAGACATCGAGGCATTTTGTTTGAGATGTGCGAGAAGACAAGATTTTACTAAACATCGAGATCTAGGCTCACCGAGATCAATTACGGATCATATTTTTAAAATTGTTCTTTTCTTCTAGATATTACATTGATAAAATGTAGATTTAAAAAAAAATATTCAAGAAATATGCTAATTCTAAACATCGTCACCCGTCGGCCGCTTACGTTTTCTTGTTCGCGGGAGAAAAAATCCTGACACACACACAGTCGAGGGGTCACTGAGTTCACATTGGTTTAGATATCCGTAGTGTTGGCCTATAACATACGTCATACTACTCATTGCAAGAACAATTCCTATTTGAAATTTTCCATTGTCGCCTTACATTCTGAATTTAACGGCTTTTTTAAAAAAAAACTAATTATTAGTCCATAAAATAAAAAGTAGCACGAGTCGCCGACTGTCATCATTACGCTGATGAGCTTTACGATCATATAATATGGGGGTCATCCATAAATGACGTCACGCTTTTTTGGACGATTTTTACCTCCCCCCCTCCCCTCCGTCACACTTCGTCACAAAAAGCCAGACCCCCCCCTAAAATGACGTCACACCTCAACCTACAACCCCCCTCAAAATTGCAGTTGAATTTTTTTAAAACATTGATATTTTTCCAAAATCTTGTCTAAACTATTACAATTTATTAAAACAGTTATCTAAAACGCGAAATAACGTCTAAAATTCGTTTTCTAACATTGCTTTTTTATAATGCAAAAATGTGACGTCGCAACATCTGACCCCCCCTCCCCCTCGTCACACTTCGTCACAAAATTACGGACCCCCCCCCCCCCCCCTCCCCCCTACGAGTGTGACGTCATTTATGGATGACCCCATGGGTCTTATTTACATTGTATTTAAAAAATGTGTAAAAATACGGAAAGTTACGGAAAACCTATGCTCTTGTTACGGGGAAAATTTTTTTGGGGTAGACAGCCCTGCTTAGGTGCTCATTACCAGATGTTCTCGGACCATCCATTTTCTGTCTCCTTAGGCAGTTTTAGGTTACCAATAAGGTTCTTTGATTTATCAGTCAGTGAACAGGAAGATGAGCAAGCCTCACACCTATTCCTTTTGTCATTGTACTAGTCACCAATGAACCTAATGAATGAAAAAAAAATTGTTTTCTAGGCTGCTCCTGTGTCTGGTCACCAATGAACCTAATGAATGAAAAAAAAATTGTTTTCTAGGCTGCTCCTGTGTCTGGTCACCAATGAACCTAATGAATGAAAAAAATTGTTTTCTAGGCTGCTCCTGTGTCTGGTCACCAATGAACCTAATGAATGAAAAAAATTTGTTTTCTAGGCTGCTCCTGTGTCTGGTCATCCGTCTGACCCATGGAGATCTGTGGAAGTCCCAGCCTCAGGTCTAAGTACGGCCATGTTCCCAGAATGCTCTACTCTAGACGAACTGTTTGCCAGAGCTTGTAAGTTGCATGGCAACCGACCATGTCTGGGCACCAGGGATGTTCTCAGTGAGGAGGAGGAGCCTCAGCCCAATGGAAGAGTTTTTAAGAAGGTCAGACATGCTAGCAGTGGTGGGAGACAGAATGCTTTACAATGGTTTTTTTATACAAAGGATATGAGTCTATTATGATTATACATTTTTTATATTTAGACTGACACTGGTATGAATATTGAATTGACTGACCCAAACGTTTTCTCCCGTTCCAGCTTGTAATGGGCAATTATCAATGGGAGACCTACAACGAGGTGTCTAAAAGGATTTCCAATTTTGGCAATGGGCTGACGGCCTTGGGCCAATTGCCTAGGTCAAGGCTGGTCATCTTTGCAGAAACTCGTGCTGATTGGATGATATCTGCGCAGACGTGTTTTAAGTTTAATTTCCCAGGTTTGTTTTGGTGGAGAATAGATGTGATAGAAATAGAAAATAACTGTGACTGGGGCACTTGTTGAGTCAGTTTTGTTAGTGTTCAGAGATATAGAGATAAGGGATGTAGCCTACTTATGTTTTGTTCCAGTTGTTACCCTGTAATTTGTACCATGTCTCTGTTATCCTGCAACTTGTTCCATTTTCCAGTTGTTACCCTGTAATTTGTATCATGCCTCTGTAATCCTGCAACTTGTTCCATGTTCCAGTTGTTACCCTGTAATTTGTACCATGCCTCTGTAATCCTGCAACTTGTTCCATGGTCCAGTTGTTACCCTGTAAATTTGTACCATGCCTCTGTAATCCTGCAACTTGTTCCATGTTCCAGTTGTTACCCTATACGCCACACTTGGAGTTGATGCCATCATCCATGGTATCAGCGAGACACAAGTTGCCAAGGTCATCACAAGCCTGGAACTGTTGCCCAAATTCACGGTCAGTTTTTACAGCAAATGTGTCAACAGTTACACATTTACAACAACAAACCTACTGATAAGTCAAAAGAAATAGAAATCTAAATTGCTCTAGGTGCAATCTAAATATACCAATATAGCAAACTAGATTTAGTAAGTGATGATTGACATATTTATTGGTAGCAAGATGTGATCTATATTTAGCAAGATGTCATCTATATTTAGCAAGATTTGATCTATATTTAGCAAGATGTCATCTATATTTAGCAAGATGTGATCTATATTTAGCAAGATGTCATCTATATTTAGCAAGATTTGATCTATATTTAGCAAGATGTAATCTGTATTTAGCAAGATGTGATCTATATTTAGCAAGATGTGATCTATATTTAGCAAGATGTGATCTATATTTAGCATGATAAGCTCTATATTTAGCAAGATGTGATCTATATTTAGCAAGATGTCATCTATATTTAGCAAGATGTGATCTATATTTAGCAATATGTGATGTATATTTAGCAATATGTGATCTATATTTAGCAAGATGTCATCTATATTTAGCAAGATGTGATCTATATTTAGCAAGATGTCATCTATGGTGCTTGCTATTTTGCAGGAAGTTTTACCAAAAACTCCTAGCGTGACTCATGTTATTGTCATGGGCTGCACCAAACTGCAACTCTCCAAGGTCAAGGTTAAGATTCCTGAAGGGATAACTGTGTTATCCATGCAAGATGTGGAGGCACTAGGGTCACAGCCGGATAAAAGTAAGCTTTCTTTTCATTGGCTGGTCCAACTTACAGCTTTAGAATGTGAGTTGTTATTTCATTGGCTGGTCCATGTTACAGCCTTAGAATGTGAGTTGTTATTTCATTGGCCCAACTTACAGCCTTTAAGTTTACAAATGTCTGGGCAATTCTCCTGTTCAGATGTTCTTGCCTGAACTATTGCCACCATTTGGGTGATTGGGGGTTTGAAGTTGTGGATGGAAGTCATAATGCCATGGTACTACTACACATTACCATGGCATAGATTATATTCCAGAAAAAAAATGTTAAAAAGTTAGCAAAAACAATCGTTTAGGTGTGGATGATGTTCCAGAAAAAAAATGTTAAAAGGTTAGCTGGAGATGTTAATATTTAGGTGTGGATGATGTTCCAGAAAAAAATGTTAAAATGTTAGCTGGAGATGTTAAAAAATGTTAAAACGTTAGCTGGAGATGTTAATGTTTAGGCGTGGATGATGTTCCAGAAAAAAATGTTAAAATGTTAGCTGGAGATGTTAATATTTAGGTGTGGATGATGTTCCAGAAAAAACTGTGTGTGAGAAGCCAAAGCCGGACGACATAGCTGTCATCATGTACACCAGTGGCTCTACAGGAATTCCTAAAGGTCAGTGGCTAAGGGTATTAGTTGTTTGTTTAGTGGGAATGGTTGACAAGAGGGAGGTTAAATTAAGTTCTTGTGAAAGTATCAAGTTAGGTTAGGGTTAAAATTGAGGTGAATTGGTAAAATTAGGCTTGTTTGAAAAAGCTAGAGGGAATAGTTAAAGTTCACTAGTCAAGTACTGGTCATTTAGAGTTCCCTAGTCAGGTACTGGTCATTTAGAGTTCCCTAGTCAAGTACTGGTCATTTAGAGTTCCCTAGTCAAGTACTGGTCATTTAGAGTTCCCTAGTCAAGTACTGGTCATTTAGAGTTCCCTAGTCAAGTACTGGTCATTTAGAGTTCCCTAGTCAAGTACTGGTCTAGAGTTCACTAGTTAAGTACTGGTCATTTCTGTCTGCCCACAGGTGTGATTATATCCCACAGAAATCTTTTGTGTGGAACTTCAGGACAGGTGGAGAGGATTCCAGAATTAGGGTAAACATTGATGTTTGGTTCTAGAACTAGAGTGACCATTGACATTTGGTTCTAACATTGATTATAAGACTATTTTTTACTGCTTTTGTATGATGTACCCATCAATTTTTTTATGTCAACAGAGAGAAAGATGTTTATGTAGGTTATCTTCCCTTGGCTCATGTTTTGGAGCTTAGTGCAGGTAAAATCTGAAAAAATAGCCTGATGTAACAGTGTCAGTGTAGTTTACTGTTGCTGGCATTAGGGGATCAGTGTAGTTTACTGTTGCTGGCATTAGGGGGTCAGTGTAGTTTACTGTTGCTGGCATTAGGGGATCAGTGTAGTTTACTGTTGCTGGCATTAGGAGATCAGTGTAGTTTACTGTTGCTGGCATTAGGGGGTCAGTGTAGTTTACTGTTGCTGGCATTAGGGGATCAGTGTAGTTTACTGTTGCTGGCATTAGGGGATCAGTGTAGTTTACTGTTGCTGGCATTAGGGGGTCAGTGTAGTTTACTGTTGCTGGCATTAGGGGATCAGTGTAGTTTACTGTTGCTGGCATTAGGGGATCAGTGTAGTTTACTGTTGCTGGCATTAGGGGATCAGTGTAGTTTACTGTTGCTGGCATTAGGGGGTCAGTGTAGTTTACTGTTGCTGGCATTAGGGGATCAGTGTAGTTTACTGTTGCTGGCATTAGGGGATCAGTGTAGTTTACTGTTGCTGGCATTAGGAGATCAGTGTAGTTTACTGTTGCTGGCATTAGGGGATCAGTGTAGTTTACTGTTGCTGGCATTAGGTGATCAGTGTAGTTTACTGTTGCTGGCATTAGGGGGTCAGTGTAGTTTACTGTTGCTGGCATTAGGGGGTCAGTGTAGTTTACTGTTGCTGGCATTAGGGGATCAGTGTAGTTTACTGTTGCTGGCATTAGGAGATCAGTGTAGTTTACTGTTGCTGGCATTAGGGGATCAGTGTAGTTTACTGTTGCTGGCATTAGGGGATCAGTGTAGTTTACTGTTGCTGGCATTAGGAGATCAGTGTAGTTTACTGTTGCTGGCATTAGGAGATCAGTGTAGTTTACTGTTGCTGGCATTAGGGGATCAGTGTAGTTTACTGTTGCTGGCATTAGGGGATCAGTGTAGTTTACTGTTGCTGGCATTAGGAGAAAAAAATCATGATCTACTGAGAAATTTAATGTAACCTTTAACCCAGTAAAATTGTACATTGTTCTTGTCAATTCAATTCTTGTTTACACAATTATTGTAGAAATATCTTGTGTGGCTAAAGGGACAAGAATTGGCTACTCCTCACCCACAACCTTAACAGACAAGGTAGGTTTCTTGGTGTTTCCACTCTGCTCTAGCTAATTTACAAGCGTAAGTAACAGTAATATATGTTTATATATCATATAGGCCCTATATATATATATATATATATATATATATATATATATATATATATATATATATATATATATATATTTGTGTGTGCGTGTGTGTGTGTGTGTATAACATTTTTATTTATATATACATATATAAAATGATTACTTTGAAAACTTTCTTATGGTTACTTTTATAATTTTCCTAAGATAGCTTTGTTACAAATACTTTGTTTTGTTAAAAAAAAGACAAAGAATATTTCCCCTCCAACTTTTTCCCCAGTCGACCAAGATCAAGAGAGGCAGTGCTGGGGATGTATCTGTGCTGAACCCAACCTTAGTGGCTGCTGTACCTGTAAGTTGTTTTTGTTTGTCTACCTGTACATTGTTTTTGTCTGTGTACCTGTAAGTTGTTTTTGTCTGTGTACCTGTTAGTTGTTTTTGTCTGTCTACCTGTAAGTTGTTTTTGTCTGTGTACCTGTAAGTTGTTTTTGTCTGTGTACCTGTAAGTTGTTTTTGTTTGTGTTCCTGTAAGTTGTTTTTGTCTGTCTACCTGTAAGTTGTTTTTGTCTGTCTACCTGTAAGTTGTTTTTGTCTGTGTACCTGTAAGTTGTTTTTGTTTGTGTACCTGTACGTTGTTTTTGTCTGTGTACCTGTAAGTTGTTTTTGTCTATGTACCAGTACGTTGTTTTTGTCTGGATACCTGTACGTTGTTTTTGTCTGTGTACCTGTATGTTGTTTTTGTCTGTGTACCTGTACATTGTTTTGGTCTGTACCTGTACATTGTTTTTGTCTGTGTACCTGTAAGTTGTTTTGTCTGTGTATCTGTACGTTGTTTTTGTCTGTGTACCTGTAAATCTTGTTCCTGTAGAATTTGTTTTTCCACCTATTCAGTCATGTCTTATAGGATGCTAGTTGCCTCTGAATACAATATATTTATTTAAAAGGCGTTAGAAAGTTGTACTCACCACAAGTCACATGTTACAAATTTAGTGAGGAAATATAAAGTGATATTTTAGAAAAGCTTCTAAGCTATGAGAATTTTTTTGTATAAGAATATTGGTTTAGAGTGTAAGAATGACATTTATGGAGAACATTGAATAAGAGCATGCATTAGGTATGTGTAATGAGAACATGTACTAAAGCATGTAATGAGAACATGTACTAAAGCATGTAATGAGAACATGTACTAAAGCATGTAATGAGAACATGTACTAAAGCATGTAATGAGAACATGTACTAAAGCATGTAATGAGAACATGTACTAAAGCATGTAATGAGAATGTGTAAAAATCTTATTTTTGTGTACGCAGGTGATCATGGATAGGATATACAAGAATGTTTGGGAAAAAGTGAACTCCTCCTCGCTAATGAAGCGCGTGCTCTTTAAATTTGCATATGACTACAAACATAAACACATCCTTCAAGGCTTCGACACCCCACTATGTAACAAGTAAGAACAAAATATTTATTGTTCATTTATATAACTGATAATAAATGAACAAAATTTTTAAAGATTTGTCTGAAACAGGATGCATTAAATAATTTTTTTTTAAATATTTTCCGTAACTGAATTCCAGTTAAGTAGCTTTATTGAAACATTCTGCAGTTTTACCTGGCGCATGGGCATGCTAGGCTTGTGCACTGCGTAAATCCTAGGGTTGATAAAACTGTTTGTTTTTTGTTTAAAATATTCTTGTGTGCTACTAGTAGGTCTAGTGTTGATTGTAAGCTGTCAGTTTAATATCAACCTTCTGAAACTAATAATTAAAGTTGTTATATCTAGATCAATATTAGCAGATGAAGTGTCCGCAGGTTGTGATAGTTGCTACTGACTTGTGTTCCAGGGTTGTTTTTAAAGGTGTAAAGGACTTGCTTGGAGGACACGTCCGCCTGATGTTGTGTGGGGGTGCGCCTTTGTCAGGGACCACACAAAGATTCATGAACATTTGCTTCTGCTGTCCCCTGGGGCAGGGCTACGGACTGACTGAGACTTGTGGGGCTGGAACAGTCGTAGAATGTAAGGCAATGCTTTCATGTTAGAATGTAAGGCAATGCTTTCATGTTCCTTACTTTTGTCTGCTGGAACAGTCGTAGAATGTAAGGCAATGATTTCATGTTCCTTACTTTTGTCTCATGGAACAGTCGTAGAATGTAAGGCAATGCTTTCATGTTCCTTACTTTTGTCTGTTGGAACAGTCGTAGAATGTAAGGCAATGCTTTCATGTTCCTTACTTTTGTCTGGATTTTGAAAAAAAATTAATATAAATGTCTGTTAACATTCATAGAAATATAATAGTACAGTTCCAATATTTAAGATTTAACTATTTTAATGGTTTTATGTTTTACTAGTGTAATCATATGAATATTTACTTCAAAAAATTTGAGCATATGACCTAACAAATATTGTCATTGATTGAAAATGACTAATTTTGTTATTTGATATCCAATTAAATAAAAAAAATTGCCACTTCCTCTTTATGAAGGTATTTAAGATTGAATTATTTCCCTTTTTATTGTTCTATTTATTGATTAAGTTACCTACTCTTTTTGCTCTGGAGTTACGTCCCTTATTGATAAAAAATGTTCTCCTTCTATAGTTGGTGACATGACAACTGAAAGAGTTGGAGCACCTCTTATATGTAATGAGATAAGGCTGCGAGACTGGGTCGAAGGTCAGGTTTATTTCCTAATTATTATTTTTTTGCTGCCTCTTTTGTTTTATTTTACTTTATCAAGTTAACCAACTTCTATGTTGTTACAAGTTTTATGCTTGTCTCCCCTAATTATAGGTAGCTACACTGTGAACAACAAACCCTACCCCCAGGGGGAGGTCCTCATTGGTGGGGGCAATGTGACGCAGGGGTACTACAACAGTCCAGACAAGACCAATGAAGATTTCATCACCATTGATGGCATGCGCTACTTCTGCACGGGAGATATTGGTCAATTTGAGGAGGATGGTTGTCTCAAAATAATTGGTAAGTTAACCCTTTACATCTGATATTAACCCTTTGATTACTGATATTTTTAGATTAATATTTGGATGCTTGATAATATGCGGTAAGTTAACCCTTTTAATTCATGTCTAACCCATCTGCCTACTTGTAGAATTTTTCTCCCAAATTTCATGATTTTGGGACCCAATTTGCAGTTGTATGTGTGCATTGAACTCTGTTGATTTGCCTCCAGTTCTGTTTGGAGATCATTTGTTAAGTCCTATCCCACAAATATATTAATATCTGAAGACTGATAGTGCATCTGTACAGTTGATCTCTCGATGAAACCTCTATGCTGTCATTAAGCTAGGGCAGTTGCAGGCAGTAACAATTTGTCAGTATAATTATATTTCTAGACCTTTTTAATGTCTGATAAAAAAGTAAGAATCACGTTGTAATGTTTCAGATCGTAAGAAAGACTTGGTCAAGCTCCAGCACGGTGAGTACATCTCCCTGGCCCAGGTGGAGACAGTCCTGAAGATGTGCCCACTAGTGGAGCAGATCTGTGTGGTGGCCCACAGCGACCAAGACAGCGCCGTGGCTCTTGTTGTTCCCAGCGAGGCTCGGCTCATGGCCCTGGCCAAACAGCACAACGTCAACTGCTCAGATTTCAAAGAACTTTGCCGGAATGACCAGATAACAAGCCTTGTCCTGAAAGAGCTAACAACCCATGGGTTAAAATGTAAGGAGACATGATGCACATATGTTCTTTAAAGTTTTTGTAAACTTTTCTATTTCAACTTTAAAATTTTTGGTTTCTTATCATTGAACATTAAGCTGAGACAGCTATTTTTTTCATAGAACAATGATTAACTTTAACCCTTTACCTGCCCTAGTTACAATCCAAATTCTACATAATCAACCCATCACACATCTACATAATCTACCCATCACACGTCTACATAATCTACCCATCACACGTCTACATAATCTACCCATCACACGTCTACATAATCTACCCATCACACGTCTACATAATCTACCCATCACACGTCTACATAATCTACCCATCACACGTCTACATAATCTACCCATCACACGTCTACATAATCTACCCATCACACGTCTACATAATCTACCCATCACATATCTACATAATCTACCCGTCACATATCTACATAATCTACCCATCACACGTCTACATAATCTACCCATCACACGTCTACATAATCTACCCATCACACGTCTACATAATCTACCCATCACACGTCTACATAATCTACCCATCACACGTCTACATAATCTACCCATCACACGTCTACATAATCTACCCATCACACGTCTACATAATCTACCCATCACACGTCTACATAATCTACCCATCACACTGCTACATAATCTACCCATCACACGTCTACATAATCTACCCATCACACGTCTACATAATCAACCCATCACACGTCTACATAATCTACCCATCACACGTCTACATAATCTACCCATCACACGTCTACATAATCAACCCATCACACGTCTACATAATCTACCCATCACACGTCTACGTAATCTACCCATCACACATCTACGTAATCTACCCATCACACGTCTACATAATCTACCCATCACACGTCTACATAATCTACCCATCACACGTCTACATAATCTACCCATCACACGTCTACATAATCTACCCATCACACGTCTACATAATCTACCCATCACACGTCTACATAATCTACCCATCACACGTCTACATAATCTACCCATCACACGTCTACATAATCTACCCATCACATATCTACATAATCTACCCATCACACGTCTACATAATCTACCCATCACACATCTACGTAATCTACCCATCACACGTCTACGTAATCTACCCATCACACATCTACATAATCTACCCATCACACGTCTACATAATCTACCCATCACATGTCTACATAATCTACCCATCACACGTCTACATAATCTACCCATCACACGTCTACATAATCTACCCATCACACGTCTACATAATCTACCCATCACACGTCTACATAATCTACCCATCACACGTCTACATAATCTACCCATCACACGTCTACATAATCTACCCATCACACGTCTACATAATCTACCCATCACACGTCTACATAATCTACCCATCACACGTCTACATAATCTACCCATCACATATCTACATAATCTACCCATCACACGTCTACGTAATCTACCCATCACACATCTACGTAATCTACCCATCACACGTCTACATAATCTACCCATCACACGTCTACATAATCTACCCATCACACGTCTACATAATCTACCCATCACATATCTACATAATCTACCCATCACACGTCTACATAATCTACCCATCACACGTCTACATAATCTACCCATCACACGTCTACATAATCAACCCATCACACGTCTACATAATCTACCCATCACACGTCTACGTAATCTACCCATCACACATCTACGTAATCTACCCATCACACGTCTACATAATCTACCCATCACACGTCTACATAATCTACCCATCACACGTCTACGTAATCTACCCATCACACATCTACGTAATCTACCCATCACACGTCTACATAATCTACCCATCACACATCTACATAATCTACCCATCACACATCTACATAATCTACCCATCACACGTCTACATAATCTACCCATCACACGTCTACATAATCAACCCATCACACGTCTACATAATCTACCCATCACACGTCTACGTAATCTACCCATCACACATCTACGTAATCTACCCATCACACGTCTACATAATCTACCCATCACACGTCTACATAATCTACCCATCACACGTCTACATAATCTACCCATCACACGTCTACATAATCTACCCATCACATATCTACATAATCTACCCATCACACGTCTACATAATCTACCCATCACACGTCTACATAATCTACCCATCACACATCTACATAATCTACCCATCACACGTCTACATAATCTACCCATCACACATCTACATAATCTACCCATCACACGTCTACATAATCTACCCATCACACGTCTACATAATCTACCCATCACACGTCTACATAATCTACCCATCACACGTCTACATAATCTACCCATCACACATCTACATAATCTACCCATCACACGTCTACATAATCTACCCATCACACGTCTACATAATCTACCCATCACACGTCTACATAATCTACCCATCACACGTCTACATAATCTACCCATCACACGTCTACATAATCTACCCATCACACGTCTACATAATCTACCCATCACACATCTACATAATCTACCCATCACACGTCTACATAATCTACCCATCACACGTCTACATAATCTACCCATCACACGTCTACATAACAAATCCCAAACTGCGGCCTCCCCTTTCCATCCAAATAAAAAAGTGTATGTTGATGTGTTTGTTCACCAGCCAAGCTTCAGCGCATGGAGCTGCCCAATAAGATCTGCCTTTTCCCTGAGGCTTGGATGCCAGACACAGGCCTGGTCACAGATGCCTTCAAGCTGAAACGTAAGGTGATTGAGGACAAGTTCCAGCCAGAGATCACAGCCATGTACCAGTAGAACAGCTGCAGCTTCCAGTCTTTCCAGTAGCATTTTGTGTGGACTGCTACAAGCCAGGGATGGAACATCTGCTTCATGGAGTTACAGAACTTTGTTAGACCATCACAAGAGTTATAGAACCTGTTCATCTCAAAGATAAATAATTGTCATCACACAGTTATGGAACCTTGGAAGGTCATCTCCAGGGTCATCACATTGTCGAACCTTTAGATAGTCATCCCAGAGCTATTGAACACTTTGACATCATCACTGAGTGACGGAACTTTGTTAGATCATCACCAAGTTTAAAACATTTTACCGTGCCATAATTGGTTGAAAACTTGTGGTCAACTTGTTACTAAACTTTCAGTTGTGACTATAACATCCTTAAAGCAAAAACAGTTGTGGTATTTCATAACCGGGTAATTTTCCAATTTTGACAATTTGTTTACGGAAATTCTTTCTTTGTCTTGTGATTCTAGCTTGTGTGTGCTATTTTTGGGCTGAATTGGGCAGGATTTGGACACATTTCTCAAACTATTATCTCTGTCAACCAGTGGGAACTTGTTTTATCTGTAGAACTCACCGGTGATCATCCCTAGGTCTCTGTGATAACAATATTCTCTGACCATTTGTTTTTTATTATCTTTACATGCTGCTTGTGATGTTTTTTTTAATAGCTGGATGGGTGGGAGGGGTGAGAGAGGATAAAAGCAAACTGACAGTAGAAGTACCCACTTAATAGAACATACCACTTTGAAAACAAATATGTACCAACTACTGCTGGATGCAGGTTTTTACTTGTTTATTTTCCACTTCTACTTTTTGATTCAGCAAGTTTAAACAATGCAAACATCAGTTAACCCCCCTCTGTTGTCTATAAGTTAATTGTTTACTACTAACATTGCATTATTTTTTCCTCATTTTGTGTGTGGCTGGATTATGTAATACATAAGTTTTAATGTAAGTTTTTAGAGTTGGAAAGTTGAAAATTTCTGTCGACAAAGTTTTTCACTGCCACTAGTTCTCACAAACCCCTTTTTAGTTTGTCATTTTTCGCACAAATAATTTTGAATGTTTACAGTAGAACATTGAGTTTTTTTTAAACTAAAAAAAATGTAAATGCCCCACTTTATACAAATTGTGTGATTGAAATTTTTCATTACCATATCAAGTTAGAACTATAATCTTTCTTTAAACAACATTAATATAAATAAATATAAATAATTTGTTTCAACTTATTAATTTAAATTTCATATATTTACACGGACTAATGAAAGTCATTTTTCTATTTTGCTGTATACTTTTATAGTAAAAACCAGATGTAATCAGGTCGGTATGTGCCAGTAAATTCAACTAGTGAACCAAACTTTTCAACTGTGCCAGTTTCTGATAATGTAATCAGACATTTTTTTTTAAATTAATGCTTGTACTAAATAATTTTCTGAGACTGTTTTTGTAAATAAAAACACTGCAGTACAAAATTAAGCATAAATCTTATTTTGGTAAATAGAATTTTGATTAGTGATTAAACAAATCAGCTGGCTGCTACCACACAAAAATTAAGTGACCAATTCCAGGGATTTATCTAATGTATGAACTAAGGAAATCTACACTTTCCCTGTAGCAGTGTAAAAAGTATTTACTTGAACAATTTATCCTAGGCTGTTAACATTATACACTCATCTGCTTTGATATATTGCAATAATTACTTATATTTTAGCCAATTCTTTTTTTTTTGCTGACTCAGCAGTCATTATAGACGAGTTGGGCCAACTATTAATGCTTTTTATAGTTTTGGGGTACTTACTTTTAGAGATTGGTATTTTACTTAATCAATGTAATCATAGTTACTTGACTCGATTTACTTTCAGAGGTTAACTTTAGTCTATACCAATGTAGTCATAGCTACTTGATCTGTATTCAAGCTCCACTGTCAACTCAAGAAGTTTTAATACCTGTAGAGGCTAGAAATGTGAGCTTAAAAGATTTTCTTGTTTGTGAGCTCATGTAGAGTGTAGACATACTTCTTGCCCTTGTTATTTTAATTAAAGCTGTTTTTTTTCAAAACTGTTTATGTTCCTGTTTTTGTTACTAAAACATGACAAGACCTTTACACTAACCAACTGGCCAATAACGAGGTCATCAAACAATTTCACAATTCAAAAATTGGCTGAGGTGAAAGTAATTTAACTTAAAATATTGGCAAACTCTGATAGCCCAAATGATGAATAACATTTATTCTGATATTTGTGTAGTCATTTAGTCACAAATATATATAACTCAAATTATTTTTGTTTTACTTTGCTGCATTGGTTCCAGTTTTATGATCAAACAAATTTTGAGTACAGGACACAAAACACTTGAAAAAAGAATTCATCTAGAATAAGTTAATCAGGTGAAACTTCACTCATGATGAACTTGGATTTCACACACTTGATACTTGATGGCAATAAACATTTCCAATTTATAAGAATACAAAAAATATAGTGGATGGAATGCTAAGATCTCTTGGTTACATCATGGAGAACTATGTGGGCTTTTAGCATTGGGATGGTCTGGAAGGTCTGTCTACAGACGTGGCACCTGTTAGAAATGGAAGTAAAGTTGGCGTCATCTCTGGGCTAGGGCTGTGTTGATGTTCTAGCTAGTCTATGGCCAGTACCTTAATGCAGTACTTGTACTGTACCTTACTGCAGTACTTGTACTGTACCTTACTGCAGTACTTGTACTGTACCTTACTGCAGTACTTGTACTGTACCTTACTGCAATACTTGTATTGTACCTTACTGCAATACTTGTACTGTACCTTATTGCAGTATTTGTAATGTACATTACTGCAGTACTTGTACTGTACCTTACTGCAGTACTTGTACTGCAATGACCACAACCTGCCTCTGTTATAGCTGATTTTCTACAAATGTAATGTCCTACAAATGTAATGTCCTACAAATATGTGCTACAGTTAAACAATCATCTCTGTTGTGACCATCTGCAAATCTGGCCATATATCTGATCAAGATTTTGTGGTCCTAAGGTCAGTGTTTTTCATGTCACTGGCCAGTGTGGCTTAAGCCAGTTAAATGTCCAGCCACACCTATGGTCAGTGTGGCTTAAGCCAGCTAAATGTCCAACCAGACCTATGGTCAGTGTGGCTTAAGCCAGCTAAATGTCCAGCCAGACCTATGGTCAGTGTGGCTGAAGCCAGCTAAATGTCCAGCCAGACCTATGGTCAGTGTGGCTTAAGCCAGCTAAATGTCCAGCCAGACCTATGGTCAGTGTGGCTGAAGCCAGCTAAATGTCCAGCCAGACCTATGGTCAGTGTGGCTTAAGCCAGCTAAATGTCCAGCCAGACCTATGGTCAGTGTGGCAGATGTCACTCACCAGCTAAATGCCCAGTCAATCTCTACTTCTATGCTGACAAAAAACAAGCCATCATTAAACCAATGAATCAAGCAACCTAAAATAAAATTTAAAAAACTCCACACACAACAATCAAGCAACCTAAAATAAAAACACACCCCTCACACCCCATTTTGTTACCTACTTCAGGTCTTGTTTAAGTAAATCATTCATTTCTGTTTGGTTGACTTGCCAATGGCCAACTGTTTCTATTGCTTTGATCAAATCTATGTTGAATAGAATTTAAAATTTCTCACTGTAAATTTAAAACAATAATTGTAGCAAATGAAGAATTAATTTTTTTCAAATGTGTCAGAATCAAGGGAGCTTACCTTCAGAATCAACAAAATATTTTGTAGTAAAAGAGTTCCAGTGTTTCTTTGTTTTCAGACATGCGCTGTTGAAGTCCTGACTAATGACATGCATGTGGACATGACTGCCAACAGAAATATCCAGTAAACAACAGTAAGCCAAGGTGATAAAAGTAGGGCCTAAAGGAGTCATCTTTATCTGGCTTTATGCGTGTAATTAAAAGTTTGAAACAAAGTTTTTGTATGTTGTCTCATTATTTCATGCCTGTTATTTCTATGCTCATGTATTGTGTTGTTAAAACTTTTAATTTCTTAATTATTTCTGTGGAATATATATTTTTGAGTAGGGCACCATTTTCCTCTACCTCATACTGGGAACTGCATGATAACCAAGCCGGAATTTGAGTTCTTTGTTGGCTCTGTGAAAAAGAAATTATGATATAAATATAATTAACTGCTTTATTACTAGAATATTAATAAGCTTCTAATAAATGTACAAGAAAAAATACAGCTTAGGAACTTTTCTTAAGTCTTAATTTCACAATTTAGTTCCAGCTTTTTAATTTTTTTCTTTATCTCAACAAGACTTTTGGGTAAAGCAACTCAGATTGTTGTAATGACTAGAGCTTGGTACTGTATACCAGTGGCCAACATGCTGAAGATGGTATTGAAATACCTGTCTGATATCTCAACTCCTTTCTTGTGCATGTGTCTAAGAAGTTCCACATCTTCTTTAGTAAGACTTTTTAAACTTGCGATTTTCCTTTTGGGCATTACAAGAAAATGAAACAAAGCCTGTGAAAAATGATATAAATGGACAATCATATCATAAGTTTATGTAAACATGAGGCTATTTACTTTTATCCTATCATTCATTTTTTAAGTTATAATGTTGGAATATTGATATTTAACATGGATGTTTGTTATTTTATGTGTTGCTGCGCAATATAATAAGTTGGATAGTTTTATTTTGAGTAATTACACCGTTTTAAAACTATATTGTTGTATGATGTATCATTAAAGAAACTAAACCTAAATCTAGCCCAGTTAGACTTAGCCTTTAAGACAATGCTAACAACAAAATAATAAAATGCGTATGTTTGTTAGTATGTGAGTTTGTAATTTTGCATAATATGCCTGTATGCGTTTAAAGTTTGTATGTGACAACAAACCTTGGGGTATTTATCTTTGATCACAACCAGTTCATCATCACTATCCACCACTGCATTAGGATCATTCATGGCAGCCAAAAGTCCTTGTTTCCAAAACTCTGTCCCATTATTAGCCATCTTGCGGTGGAAGACTGAACTAATGATTAATAAGTTGCCCTTCTTTAAAAAACTAAAAAAATAATGTCATTGGACTACCTAACAATCTGAGAGATTTGAGACAAAAGAGACAAACATGTAAAAAATAAAAAGTACATTATTTCTAGTGAAAATAGTAAAAAAAAACAAATATTTTTCTTAACTTTTAAAATGAAATTAATATTATTAAATTAATATATTAGGGCCTAGGGCCTACATATTAAATAATTTAGATCTACCTGGAGAAATAATATGGTGATAAAATTAATTTCATGCCCTCTTAGTGCGTAGATAGACTCATCTAGATTCTAGATCTAGTAAAGAATGACAACTGCACTCTTAACTTAACAAAATCAATACACATATCTTGTATCTTCTGCAAATAGAAAAGAAATGGTACAAATGTGTAAAAAAAAAATATTAATATTAACCTAACATGATTAGGAATTAGGAGTTTAATCATAATGACTTGTTAAATGTAATCAGTAGGCCCTATTTATTTGCTTAGTTAGTAGTTAGTAGCATTTACTAGTATTTAGTCCTAACCCTAAGTTAGGGTTAGTTAGCCTTTACAATCAATACACTGGTTTCATTTTACAATACAACATTATTATTCTATTACATTATTATTACTATTACTAGACATCTAGGCCCCTATAATAATGCCCTAGAGTAAAGTTCCGCGTGTGGTCAAAACCACGGTGTAGTCACATTCCTGTTTATGGCTTCGTATAATATTTGTTTGGATGTTTTATACGAAACTACCAATATCTGCTGTAAACATGTCCATTTCTAAATATATCCAGGTCAAATTCTTTTGTTTCCCTCCTTCTGAAAGACGAGTTTTTAAATTTTCAAGTTTCGAGGTATGACGTCGTAGGCGATTCTAGTTCCCCCGTATGAAAAGGACTAGGTCCCGGATGAGATGAATAAAACCAACCAATCAAAGCTTTTTATAACTAGGTTAACTATTAATAGCTTCAATATATGTGCGGGACACTGAAAATACTGTAGTTAAGGCTATTAAAAGAATCTTAGTGGTGAAATGGGGGTGATCACAGCTGGGGTAACGATTTTTGTGTTTTACCCTCGCTGTGGTCACCAATGACTTGAGCTAGACTAGCCTAGATCTAGATGCTCTATATTTCAAGCTAAGTCTAGATCCTGTATAATTTCTATTTTTTTCTGTTGTTTTAAATTATTTTAATCATCTACTTCTTCTAAATCTAGTTTGTGTCTCTACATACAATCCAATCGAAGCAAATGTTACGTTTTGTCTTGTTAGTGATTGTTACGTCCCTTTGTTATGATTATAATAGTTGCGTCCCTTGAGTCATCACTGGGTCATCCGTAATTTGTAGTTAATAAATTTAATTAACGTGTTATTATTTGGTTTTGCAAATCTATTAGTTAATTATACAATTATCAACACGTTTATATGAGTAAAATTATTAAAATTGGATCAAAACGTAAAAAAATATGCTAGTGATCACAAGCAGGGACAGGTGACCACAGGCAAAAGAAAAGGGGGGGAAAGTAGATCACAAGGAGGTTCGTCACTAAAACATGAATATCTCAAATACTATGCGTATGAATACAAAATAACTCATGCATATTAGAGTAGAATGGCAGTGGAGTAATAAAGTACTTTCGGTTTGTTTCTGTGTGAAACGGTTACAAAATAGCGCCCGATGAAAATCGGGAGTTCGGAATTTTTTGCTATGTGTGACCACACGCGGAACTTTACTCTATATTATTTAATTATTAATATTATTAATGTTTAGTAATTAATTTAGGCTAGTGTTAGCCAGGAACTAAACTAAATAAATACTAGATCTGAGAAATAGATTAGTAGGCCTTATAGTTTATAACGATAGATTACCGATCTAGATCTACTTATCTAGACTTATTTATTATAGAATCTACTAATAATAGTGGCTAAGACGAAAGCTGTTAAGCAGTATGCCTACGCCCACTAAACAAAACTTAGGCCTAAGACTACATTAATGTAATCTTTAAAAACGCGAATCTATTTATTGCGAGGAGGGGATAACTCTAAATGTATCGGCATGGCTATTACTTTCATAATGTCGGTGTAGCACTTGTTGGATATCCTAAATTTTCAAGGACATTGGCTCTACACTGTTTATTCAAGCATAAATATTATTTATTATATATTTTGAAAAATCACCCATACAAAATGAGTTTAAGAGCGCTTTATATTACTCACTTACCTTCAGTATTGGGGAAAAAATTCACTCAAGTAAGCTGAATGTGAATAGCCTAAATCTGAATTAATTTAATAATTTTCCAAATTTTCCATAAATCAAAATCAATAGGCCTAGTGGACAATAGGCCTAAGTAAAGTATAACTAAGTATAGTATAGGCCTAGGCATAACCCCAAATAAAATATTAGGACGATATTTCGAGTCGTCCCTTTGAATCCCGGACAGATCGTGACTGGTAACTAGTCTAGTAACTAGTGTACGTTTACTACGTAGTCGTACGCCTACTCACTGTCACTTATTTATGATCACATTTTTACTTTTTAGTAAGTCTAATCTATAATCTTATTTAATCATTATAGGCCTACTAAAAATGACATAGGCCTAATAATAATGTGTTGTTATTTATTGTGTAAACTTAGAGTAAACTAGGACTCAAACAAAAATTTTAATTTTACTAACTGGATTCACTTGCTTTGCTTAAGTTGTCTATTTAATTTATTACACATGGCTTGCTAATCACCGAATCAGGTTAATGTCAATGCTAACCCTAATCCTCTAGTAAACTCTTAAAATGTTTTTACACCATATGTTTAGTTTAGTTAGGCTATATATAATAGGCCTAAATATTTTATTTCAACAGAAGTTATCATGTTCATGCTGGTATTCCACAAGAAAAGTTGGAGTGAGTGAAAACAAGATTATTTTACATTGACTTTTTTTAAAGTTTACTTACATTTTTTTGTATTTATAGAAAATGTAAACATAATTTTTTTTAACATTGTTTTATTGTAACCAAATAATTTTAATGTAACTTTTAAAATATTTCCAGGAAGTGATAGCAGATATAGAGAAAATCCGAAACATTGGGATCTCAGCCCATATTGATTCTGGGAAAACTACATTGACAGAACGCCTTCTATTCTACACTGGAAGAGTGGCTGAGATGCATGAGGTTCTACAAACTTTTTATTTGCAATAGTTAACTGCTAACTGCTTTAGTATTAATCAATTTTTTTTCATTAGGTTTTAATCAACTTGACAAACTTTTATTGTTATCTAAAATACCTAATGTAACTCCATATTTAATAAATTAACTTTAAATATTTTACCTCTTGTGTTACTTGAAAGTCATTTACATCTGAACTTTCTAGTTTCAAGGCAATTTTTAAAAGTTGTCCTTACTCACTATTCCATGTTAATTTCAAAACAGGTAAAGGGTAAAGATCTTGTAGGAGCAAAGATGGATTTTATGGAATTAGAAAGACAAAGAGGAATCACCATCCAATCAGCTGCCACTTATGTCATGTGGAAAGATCACAATATAAATATTATCGACACTCCTGGTAAACACACAACTTTTATTGACTTTTGTATAAACCTGTTAATTAAAATACTATGAAAAAAGTGTTAGTATTTTAAAAATGTTCTTTAAAATTTTTGTGTTTACATTTTAGGGCATGTGGACTTCACCGTTGAAGTTGAGAGAGCGTTGCGTGTGCTAGATGGTGCAGTCCTTGTGTTGTGTGCAGTGGGGGGTGTCCAAAGTCAGACGTACACAGTCAACAGGCAGATGAAGCGTTACAATGTCCCCTGTTTGGCTTTCATCAACAAGCTTGACAGGCAGGGTTCTAATCCCAGCAGAGTGCTACATCAGCTAAGGTTAGTTTATGAATTAGGTACTTTACCATTTTAAAAAACTAAGTTCACAGTCACAGGCGCTTATTGTGTTACATTCAAAATCTGGTGACAGGAGTTTAATTAAAATTAAAGACATCTTTCTTATCAATTGGTTAACTTTGGTAAATGTCACTATAATTGAGCTACCTTTATGTCTTCCAGATCCAAACTACTTCATAATGCAGCATTTGTAAACATTCCTATTGGCCTTGAAGGAAACCTTAAAGGCATTGTTGATCTTATTCATGAAAAAGCCATTTATTTTGAGGAGCCCCATGGGTTGGTATCAAGTTTTATATTACATGCCAGTCATTAGGACAATTATTTTCAATCATTTGTTAACTCATGAGTTTTTACTGTTTGAAGTTTCACTTTTATGATGGCTTACATTAAAAAATTGTGTTTTCCTTAAACAGACTTACGTTAAGAGAAGATGAGATTCCTTCAGATCTTAGGGCTGAGGCTAAGGACAAAAGACAAGAGATGATTGGTAAGTGGCTTTTTTAATCCATTTGATTGAGCTGTCTTGCTTGTTAATTTTTTTTTTTTTTAGTTTTATCTGAGTTGGTTGGTTTTATTATCTGGGATGGTTGTGTTGTTATCTTGGATGGTTGTGTTGTTATCTTGGATGGTTGTGTTGTTATCTTGGATGGTTTGGTTATCTGCGATGGTTGTGTTATTATCTGCAATGGTTATGTTATTATCTGGGATGGTTGTGTTGTTATCTGGGATGGTTGTGTTATTATCTGGGATGGTTGTGTTGTTATCTGGAATGGTTGTGTTATCTGGGATGGTTGTGTTATTATCTGGGATGGTTTTGTTGTTATCTGCAATGGCTGTGTTATTATCTTGGATGGTCGTGTTTACAGAAATGGTGTCAAATGTTGATGATCAGCTAGGAGAAATATTTTTAGAAGAGAAAACCCCCACAGCCCAAGATATCATGGTCAGTGGATTGCAAACAGTTTGTTTACATAATTATAGTATTTATAGTCCTAAGAATTAGAGCACAATGAGAAAAATAAGTTTTAAAAGATGTCAGTCATTCAGTCATTCCATGTGACTTTGATTTCAGTCGGCCATCAGACGTGCAGCCATCAAGAGAAACTTTACTCCTGTCTTGGTTGGTTCAGCTTTAAAAAATAAAGGGGTGCAACCTTTGCTGGATGCAGTTTTGAATTACCTGCCCAATCCATCAGAGGTTACAAATATTTGCTTGGATAACAGTGCAGGGTAGGGGACCATTTAGACATATATGTGGCTTGGACTGTCTGTACATGATTTTGTACTTTATGGAATCCCAATCACAAGCACTGAGCTCTACAAATTAACTTATTGATGTTTTTTATTCTGAAGGGTTGAAAACTCAGTGAAGTTTAACCTGAATCCTGCCAGATCAATTGATCCACCTTTTGTTGGGCTGGCATTTAAGCTGGAGGTTAGTGGTTTTGATAGGTTTTTCATTAATTTAATTTATTCAACCAATTATTAGCTAGCTTATGTTATTGGTAACATGCTTGGAGAAGCAATGTTTTGAAAATAGTAATGCTTATGTGTATTGTATTATGTTCTATCTGAATGTAGAAGTCACTGGTTAACTGTTGAAGGAACTCTTGTGTAGGCCTCTATATGTAGGGTTGTGTGTTGGCCTTTGTAGGAATGTGTGTGGGCCTCTAGTGATGTGTGTGGGCCTCTATATGTAGGTTTGTGTGTTGGCCTTTGTAGGAATGTGTGTGGGCCTCTAGTGATGTGTGTGGGCCTCTATATGTAGGGATGTGTGTAGGCCTGTATATGTAGTTAATGTAGGGATGTGTGTGGTCCTGTATATGTAGGGATGTGTGTAGGCCTGTATATGTAGGGATGTGTGTGGGCCTGTATATGTAGGGATATGACTGGGGTAACTTGTTGTTTTAGGCAGGAAAGTTTGGCCAGCTTACTTACATGAGAGTCTATCAAGGTGGAGTCTGCAAAGGGGACACAATCATCAACACAAGGACACAGAAGAAAACTAGAGTACAGAGACTTGTCAGGATGAATGCAGATGAGATGGAGGTAAGCCTCAGAGTTTGTGCACAATGTTGGTAGCAGATTGAGCTGTTCCATCACTTGATAATTGTACTTGTGTGGAGTAAGTCTGTTTGACTCAGTGATTTTTGTCCTGCTTGCAGGATGTGAGTGAAGTATATTCCGGGGACATTTGTGCACTCTTTGGTATTGATTGCCATGGTGGAGATACTTTTGTCACTAAAGGAAATCTTCATCTTTCAATGGTAAAGTATTTCACATTGTTTTATTACATCTGACTGGATTAAGTGACGGATATGTCAGTCTTTTTCTAGATATAGCCAGCATATTCTCATTAGTTTTGATAAGAAAACAGTTAAAAATTGTGATATAATTTACATACTATTTATTTAAACAATTAGTTTACATATTAAACAAACATATGGCCTCATGTAAAAAAAAAATTAAATTAAAATAATGCTATTGCAGGAGTCTATGTTTATCCCTGAACCTGTCATCTCAATGTCCATCAAACCTGTGAAGAAAGCAGATATTGAAAGTTTTTCTAAGGGGATCGCCAGGTTCACCAAGGAGGATCCAACATTTCGGGTACAGTGGGACGACGAATCTAAGGAGTCCATTGCCTCGGGCATGGGAGAACTGCATCTGGACATTTATGCACAGGTAACTTAGATTTGCCGATTACTTCAGGTAATTGTATTACAGAAAGATGAACTTTGAACTGTCTGTAGTAGTTGTTATAGACATTGTTCATCATCTATGCTAGTCAGTCCTTTAGAGCAGCTTAAACAAACATTTTATTTCTCTTCACCAGACTGAACTAACACAAAGTTTTCTTTTCACATATTTTGTATGTTATTCCTATCCAATGTCTAGTTGGTTGAGTGAATCGTTTGCTTCAATTATTATTTCTTCCGTGTGTACTATAGAGGTGTGGTAAGGTTAGCCCCTGCTGTGTGTATTATAGAGGTGTGGTAAGGTTAGCCCCTGCTGTGTGTACTATAGAGGTGTGGTAAGGTTAGCCCCTGCTGTGTGTATTATAGAGGTGTGGTAAGGTTAGCCCCTGCTGTGTGTACTATAGAGGTGTGGTAAGGTTAGCCCCTGCTGTGTGTACTATAGAGGTGTGGTAAGGTTAGCCCCTGCTGTGTGTACTATAGAGGTGTGGTAAGGTTAGCCCCTGCTGTGTGTATTATAGAGGTGTGGTAAGGTTAGCCCCTGCTGTGTGTATTATAGAGGTGTGGTAAGGTTAGCCACTGCTGTGTGCACTATAGAGGTGTGGTAAGGTTAGCCCCTGCTGTGTGCACTATAGAGGTGTGGTAAGGTTAGCCCCTGCTGTGTGCACTAAAGAGGTGTTGTAAGGTTAGCCCCTGCGGTGTGCACTATAGAGGTGTGGTAAGGTTAGCCCCTGCTGTGTGCACTATAGAGGTGTGGTAAGGTTAGCCCCTGCTGTGTGCACTATAGAGGTGTGGTAAGGTTAGCCCCTGCTGTGTGCACTATAGAGGTGTGGTAAGGTTAGCCCCTGCTGTGTGTACTATAGAGGTGTGGTAAGGTTAGCCCCTGCTGTGTGCACTATAGAGGTGTGGTAAGGTTAGCCCCTGCTGTGTGCACTATAGAGGTGTGGTAAGGTTAGCCCCTGCGGTGTGCACTATAGAGGTGTGCACTATAGAGGTGTGGTAAGGTTAGCCCCTGCTGTGTGCACTATAGAGGTGTGGTAAGGTTAGCCCCTGCTGTGTGCACTATAGAGGTGTGGTAAGATTAGCCCCTGCTTGTGCACTATAGAGGTGTGGTAAGGTTAGCCCCTGCTGTGTGCACTATAGAGGTGTGGTAAGGTTAGCCCCTGCTGTATGCACTATAGAGGTGTGGTAAGGTTAGCCCCTGCTGTATGCACTATAGAGGTGTGGTAAGGTTAGCCCCTGCTGTGTGCACTATAGAGGTGTGGTAAGGTTAGCCCCTGCTGTGTGCACTATAGAGGTGTGGTAAGGTTAGCCCCTGCTATGGCTGTTAACATTAGCTGGAGTGTTTTCTGGGGTTTGCCAAGGTGTATTAGGGTTTTCTGGGGTGTATTAGGAGTTGTGTTTGCCAAGGTGTGTTAAGGCTCATCAAGGTGTGTTAATGTTTGCCAAGGTGTGTTAAGGTTCATCAAGGTGTGTTAATGTTTGCTAATGTGTGTGAAGTTTTGCCAAGGTGTGTGAAGGTTTGCCAAGGTGTGTGAAGGTTTGCCAAGGTGTGTGAAGTTTTGCTAAGGTGTGTGAAGGTTTGCCAAGGTGTGTGAAGGTTTGCCAAGGTGTGTGAAGGTTTGCTAAGGTGTGTGAAGGTTTGCCAATGTGTGTGAAGGTTTGCCAAGGTGTGTGAAGGTTTGCTAAGGTGTGTGAAGGTTTGCCAAGGTGTGTGAAGGTTTGCCAAGGTGTGTGAAGGTTTGCTAAGGTGTGTGAAGGTTTGCCAAGGTGTGTGAAGGTTTGCCAAGGTGTGTGAAGGTTTGCCAAGGTGTGTGAAGGTTTGCTCATGCAGTCAGTGACTGGTTTCTCCACAGAGACTGGAGCGTGAGTTTGGCGCCCAGTGTGTGCTGGGCAAACCCAAGGTGGCCTTTAGGGAAAGTCTGCTCAAGCCCTGCGAGTTTAATTACCTGCACAAGAAGCAAACAGGTGGACAGGGCCAGTATGCTCGGGTCATTGGGGTCGTAGAGGTCAGTAGAACACTCACGTTGAGATGTTTTTTGGTTAGTCGCTTGTTCATGTTTTAAAGATCTGTTTGTTGGTCATCTTGTCATTCTCTTGCTCCTGTCCTAAATGTTGCTGGTCATCTTCCTGCTCCTAATAAATGTTGCTGGTCATCTTCCTGCTCCTCTTCTAAATGTTGCTGGTCTGGTCATCTTCCTGCTCCTGTCCTAAATGTTGCTGGTCTGGTCATCTTCCTGCTCCTAATAAATGTTGCTGGTCATCTTCCTGCTCCTGTCCTAAATGTTGCTGGTCATGTTCCTGCTCCTGTCCTAAATGTTGCTGGTCATCTTCCTGCTCCTTATAAATGTTGCTGGTCATCTTCCTGCTCCTGTCCTAAATGTTGCTGGTCATCTTCCTGCTCCTGTCCTAAATGTTGCTGGTCATCTTCCTGCTCCTGTCCTAAATGTTGCTGGTCATCTTCCTGCTCCTGTCCTAAATGTTGCTGGTCATCTTCCTGCTCCTGTCCTAAATGTTGCTGGTCATCTTCCTGCTCCTGTCCTAAATGTTGCTGGTCATCTTCCTGCTCCTGTCCTAAATGTTGCTGGTCTGGTCATCTTCCTGCTCCTAATAAATGTTGCTGGTCATCTTCCTGCTCCTGTCCTAAATGTTGCTGGTCATGTTCCTGCTCCTGTCCTAAATGTTGCTGGTCATCTTCCTGCTCCTAATAAATGTTGCTGGTCATCTTCCTGCTCCTGTCCTAAATGTTGCTGGTCATCTTCCTGCTCCTGTCCTAAATGTTGCTGGTCATCTTCCTGCTCCTGTCCTACATGTTGCTGGTCATCTTCCTGCTCCTGTCCTAAATGTTGCTGGTCATCTTCCTGCTCCTGTCCTAAATGTTGCTGGTCATGTTCCTGCTCCTGTCCTAAATGTTGCTGGTCATCTTCCTGCTCCTGTCCTAAATGTTGCTGGTCATCTTCCTGCTCCTGTCCTAAATGTTGCTGGTCATCTTCCTGCTCCTGTCCTAAATGTTGCTGGTCATCTTCCTGCTCCTGTCCTAAATGTTGCTGGTCATCTTCCTGCTCCTGTCCTAAATGTTGCTGGTCATCTTCCTGGTCCTAATAAATGTTGCTATTCTTCTGATCAGCCTCTTGGAGCAGAGAACAACACACAACTGGACTTTGTCAGTGAAATTGTTGGTACAAGTGTCCCCAGACAATATATTGCATCAGTCAAAGCAGTAAGTTCTCCCATCCTTTGCTGTTGTCATTAGGTTCATGTTAAAATGAAGTAGATGTTACATATAAGTAACTAGGAAGTGTATAGATTACTGTAAACATTCTCATGTTCCCAGGGCTTCCTAAAAGCTTGTGAGAAAGGTGGTTTGGCTGGGCACAAGGTGGCTGGCATCAGGTTCAGGCTTCAGGACGGTGAGTACATGTGGTTGGTGTATCACTGGGTTGGTGTGTCGCTGGGTTGGTTGGTCTCTGGGTTGATGTGTCTCTGGGTTGGTGTGTCTCTGGGTTGGTGTGTCGCTGGGTTGGTGTATCGCTGGGTTGGTGTATCACTGGGTTGGTGTGTCACTGGGTTGGTGTGTCACTGGGTTGGTGTATCACTGGGTTGGTGTTGCTGATTTAATGTGTCACTGGTTGCTGGTGTGTTGCTGGGTTGGTGTGTTTGTTATTGTGTTGGTGTGTCACTGTTGGTGTATCACTGGGTTGGTGTGTCGCTGGTTGCTGGTGTGTTGCTGGGTTGGTGTGTTTGTTATTGTGTTGGTGTGTTACTGTGTTGGTGTGTCACTGGGTTGGTGTGTCGCTGGGTTGGTGTGTCGCTGGGTTGGTGTGTCGCTGGGTTGGTGTGTCGCTGGGTTGGTGTATCACTGGGTTGATGTGTCACTGGGTTGGTGTATCACTGGGTTGGTGTGTCACTGGGTTGGTGTTGCTGATTTAATGTGTCACTGGTTGCTGGTGTGTTGCTGGGTTGGTGTGTTTGTTATTGTGTTGGTGTGTCACTGTTGGTGTATCACTGGGTTGGTGTGTCGCTGGTTGCTGGTGTGTTGCTGGGTTGGTGTGTTTGTTATTGTGTTGGTGTGTCACTGTTGGTGTATCACTGGGTTGGTGTGTCGCTGGGTTGGTGTTGCTGATTTCATGTGTCTCTGGTTGCTGGTGTGTTGCTGGGTTGGTGTGTTTGTTATTGTGTTGGTGTGTCGCTGGGTTGGTGTATCACTGGGTTGATGTGTCACTGGGTTGGTGTATCACTGGGTTGGTGTGTCACTGGGTTGGTGTATCACTGGGTTGGTGTGTCACTGGGTTGGTGTTGCTGATTTAATGTGTCACTGGTTGCTGGTGTGTTGCTGGGTTGGTGTGTTTGTTATTGTGTTGGTGTGTCGCTGGGTTGGTGTATCACTGGGTTGATGTGTCACTGGGTTGGTGTATCACTGGGTTGGTGTGTCACTGGGTTGGTGTTGCTGATTTAATGTGTCACTGGTTGCTGGTGTGTTGCTGGGTTGGTGTGTTTGTTATTGTGTTGGTGTGTCACTGTTGGTGTGTCACTGGGTTTATGTGTTGCTGGGTTGGTGATTTCATGTGTCTCTGGTTGCTGGTGTGTTGCTGGGTTGGTGTGTTTGTTATTGGGTTGGTGTGTTGCTGGGTTGGTGTGTTTGTTATTGTGTTGGTGTGTCACTGTGTTGGTGTGTCGCTGGGTTGGTGTGTCACTGTGTTGGTGTGTCACTGTGTTGGTGTGTCGCTGGGTTGGTGTGTCGCTGGGTTGGTGTGTCACTAGACAAGACTATTTTAACACCAGATCAACACAGTCCTCTGATTAGATTACTGTAGATGAGCTGATTGTTAACAGATTTTACAATCTACTTTTGAATTGCAGGTGCTAATCATGCTGTTGATTCAAGTGACCTGGCTTTTCAATTAGCCACAGAGATGGCCATGAAAGAAGGTGGGAACATTTTCCTAAATAGCCTACACATTTTTTTAAACTCTCAACAATCTTCATGTATACAAATGGACTAGTTTATACATTTCAACTGCTAGTTAAGAAATTATATAATAATTTAATAAAATAGTTAACCAATTAATCCACATTGCAGTCTGGTAGCTACATTTGGATGAGTTTTACAACAAGGTGACAAGAAAGACAAAGAAGTTTAAATTTCTTTCTTGCTCTTATCCTTTAGTTTTTGAATCTGGGATGTGGAACATTCTAGAACCAGTTATGACAGTTGAAATCAATGCCCCAGAGGAATACAAAACAGCAGTCATTCAAAACATCATGAAAAGAAATGCAGTCATTCAAGGCACTGACAGTGTTGAAGGATTCTTCACCTTGTACTGTGAGGTAACAAAAATGCAATCTTTGTTAATGGAATAATATACTTAAGTATCAGTGTCTCCATTTAAGTCACATTATTCTTAAATGAAAAATATTTATTTAAGGGAAAAGTAAAGTTTTTAAAATTAAAAAATATATCTTTCCTTGAAACTTTTGAAAGCTCTTGTGTTAAAGTTTTGTTGTTTGATCAACACAGGTTCCTTTAAATGACATGTTTGGGTACGCCACAGAGCTGCGCTCCCTGACACAAGGGAAGGGAGAGTTTACAATGGAGTACAGCAGATACTGCCCAACACAGGCAGAGGTGCAGGAGAAGCTGATACAGGAATACCAGGAGCTCTCAGAACAACAACAGAAAAAGAAGAAAAATTGACCCTAATCTTATGTTTAGAGTAAATAACACTGTTATCTTTGGTAAAAAGGATTGTGTTTAGCATTGAATAAACATGCCCAGATTCTTTCAACTGGATAAATTCACACAAGTTTTAAGAATCAACATTTAAAATAGGGTTTACCATTTCATTGTTTGTTAAATATGGTCTAGTTCAGCTGTTGAGAGACATGGACAAGAGCTAGGAGAGGGGCAAAAACTTTTACAGAAATATCCAATCTATGTAAATTAAAAATATACAACTATAAATTAATAAGTACATGTGCAAATTCAACTGGATAAATTCACACAAGTTTTAAGAATCAACATTTAAAATAGGGTTTACCATTTCATTGTTTGTTAAATATGGTCTAGTTCAGCTGTTGAGAGACATGGACAAGAGCTAGGAGAGGGGCAAAAACTTTTACAGAAATATCCAATCTATGTAAATTAAAAATATACAACTATAAATTAATAAGTACATGTGCAAATTACGTTTTGTCTCCATCACCTCATCATCTTTTCCTGTTCTTGAGCTAGAAATGTGGCAGATGAAGTAGAGTTCATTTGTTTCAATCACCCCAGCATACAGTGAAATAGTCTCCATGGACTGCTTGATTGCCTTGACGGCATCCTACAGTCATTCAAAGTAAAATACCAGGTGAACAGCAATTTATCAGTGTACAAAATGATGGCCCAGAGCTCATTAAAGTGTTGTATATTGAGTATTTAGTAAAAAAATAAATTATTCAGCATCTGTGAAAGTATAAATTTGCTTAGGGTAAGATCATACAAAATTGTATTCATGATGATCTTCATAAAACTGTATTTTATTGGGGGGGGGGGGGGGGGGAAGAAGGAGGTATAAATGTAAGAGATAAATCATCTGTTCCTTTATCATTAAATTATTCATTATTTATTGGAAACAAAAATTTCATTGGATGTATGTACAGTTTTGGGTAAACCCATGATTTAATTGAATTGCTGTTGATGACGTCAACTGAAATAAATTTTGTTATTTTTAAACTTTATATTTGTTCTTTTCTTTAATGTCTTGATCCTGTTTAGAATTGTATAAGTCTAGGTCATGTTGATCTAGATAATTGTAGGTCATGTTGTCAAGATAATGTTGATCAAGGCCATGTTGGTTTAAGTGTATAATCATACAAGTCATACATCAAACAAACAAATAGTAGATGAATTTAATAGGACGTTTTACTTAACTGTAAAAAATAATGGTTTTAAAAAATCTTTGTTTGCAAAAAATAATTTTAATCAATTTTTCAATAGTTGCTTATTGTTTTACACTGTAATATGAGACCACTGTTGATAATAAAGGTTTGATTCCATGTGTGGATTGCTGGTCGTTTTCTGCTGTCTAGTTCCAAACAGATCTTTAAAAAACCAGTGGCAGTTGGAGCCATGTGATACAAACAAGGCAATAGTTTGCACAACAGTAAAGCAGATATATATATATATATATATATATATATATATATATATATATATATATATATATATATATATATATATATATATATATACACACACACACAATTAAATGTTTTTAAAAGATGTGAATCTAGTCACTCATCAGTAATCAAAACATCACTTTACATTTTACAACATTGAGATTTAACATTCCACACCATATAAAACAAGTGTTTTTAGTTTTAAGTATAAGCTAACTCATATTGATATTTATTTGTCATATTTTACCAAGAAAATGAAGAAGTTTTTGAGGTAGGCCTATCCACAGGTATTATATTATAGTAGGCCTTATATGTTAAATATTTATATAAATAGATAGGCCTAATATATTTTATAGAAATTCACGTGTTGGATTTTGTTTTCTTGTTTTCGGTTATTATAATTTCCAACATTTTATTTACTTTGAAAATGGCATCCGAGCCAAGCACAAGACAAAAGCTCCACAGTATAATTGATGATATGGAATTAATTTCAAAGTAGGTGCTATTTCAAGATTGTTAGACCTGTATTTTTTTGGTAAAACTCTATTTTAACGTATTTTATTCCCCGCTTCACGTTCACCTCCAGCTGAGCGTATTTTATTTTAAACTTAAACTTTAGGGCCTAAACTAAACACAACCGATTACCGAAACACACAAAAACGCTAGGAAAACAAGAACAACTAGATCTAGATCCAGATCTGTTCTAGATCTAGATCTAGATCTACTAGACTCACTGGACTCACTAGGCCTAGATCTACCTATTATCTAATGTATCGAGATTCTAGATCTATTTCTGGTAAAACATTAGTTTAGCGGCGTAAATTATCAGGCAATGTTTGTTGAGTTTCGTAAGTTACAGCAGTTATGGTAAATCATGGTTTATTCGACCATTGAAATATTAGAATTGATTATTAGGTGAAAGTTGATTGTAGTAAATTACTGTTTTAATTTTTTAAGTTTAGGCCTAGATCTAATTGACAAAAGGAAACATGGGGAATTTTTATACCAGTGTCCAATAATAAAATCTTCTTTAAAAAAGGGTGTTAAGTTACTGGTAGTTAACTAAATAAATATTAAATAGGCCTACATACATTGCTGGCTAATGTCAATGCTAACCCTGTCGCTAACCCCACTTCCATACACCTAACTCTAATTTCTTACCATAAAATTAGTCTAGATTACAATGACAATACTACTAACAAACCAACATACCTATTTTATGGAAGAGTCTATTATCGGACATTGGTATCTAAAATAATCAGATAACAGGAATATATATAATAGTAGATTTAAATTAGTAGATCTAGAAATAAAAAAAATGATATATAAATATAAATAATAAACTCAAATGTAATAATTTGTTTAATGTTTTTGGCTTGTATCGGATTTGCGACTATTAATTAATAATTAATTAGACCTAGATCTAGCTAGCTGCTAGGCCAAGTAAAAAAATTTCTAGATTACGAAACAGTAAAAGTGATTACAAAAATAGTAAAAATGATTACAAAAATAGTAAAAATGATTACAAAAATAGTAAAAATGATTACAAAAATAGTAAAAATGATTACAAAAATAGTAAAAATGATTACAAAAATAGTAAAAATGATTACAAAAATAGTAAAAATGATTTCAAAAATAGTAAAAATGATTACAAAAATAGTAAAAGCGACTAGAAACAGGGCTCGTACCCTATTTTGAAAATGAAACAAGACCTTTGTAACAACACCATTATTTGTGCTTATAGCTGAGAAACATTTGTCTGCTATTAAAAGCTACCGGAATCCCCCCACACAAGACACAGTGGAAGGGTCACTGTGAGGTCACAGTAGTTTAGTCTAATACGTCATAGCATGAACTGTACTGTAACTTTTACTACCCTTCCTCCCCTCCCCCAGCCAAACAGCACCAACTACGTTCCTGGGGTCATACAAGTTTAGATATCAGTGACCTTAGTTACTAGGAGGAGCGGGTTAGTCTAGCCCTAACAATTATTATTTTCAAATTTTGCACTATTACAATACTTCTTCTATACCTCATATATGAGAAAGTACAAAGCACATTTTTAAACCATGTCAATTTGATGGAAGGATTCTCGTCACCTCTGTGGCCTCCATTAAAAAAAAGGCCTATAGACTTAATATTAGTTACTATTATTAATTATTAGGCCTATAATTTATAGACTCTTTGAAAATAGGTGTGTTAGGGTTAGAGTTAGTAGGCCTGCAGTTTTTTATAATAGGCCAGGCAGTTAGGAGTACTAATTGTTAAATAGGTTTTTAGTACGTAAAATCTGCCAGAGCTAGTAATGTGAAAGAAAGGTGACTCATTTAATGATTTATAGGGCTTGAAGTTTAATATAAGTATATTGTGTTCTATAAAATATAATAGATAATTGCATAATAAACCAAACGCAATGTCTAAACTTTTGACAAAACTCACATCCATTGTTGATTACATTTGACAACACTTACATCCATTGTTGATTACATTTGACAACACTTACATCCATTGTTGATTACATTTGACATGTGTCTATGCAGGGAATTGATTGAACAGTTGGCCATGCCAAAATCTCAGAGGAAATCTGATGTTCCAGACGCTACTGACCTGATGGAGCTACTCATTGAGAAAGATGGGGAACTGAAAGAGCTGCTCAAAATAGGTGAGTGGTCAAATACTCTCTTGACTCTATACTGGTCAAATATTCTTTTGACTCCACACTGGTCAAATATTCTTTTGACTCTATACTGGTCAAATATTCTTTTGACTCTATACTGGTCAAATATTCTCTTAACTCTATACTGGTCAAATATTCTCTTTACTCTATACTGGTCAAATATTCTCTTAACTCTATACTGGTCAAATATTCTCTTTACTCTATACTGGTCAAATATTCTTGTGGGTCTATGTTCTACAAATTTCTAAATACATTATTTCACACAAATGACTTTTGTTTTATAAAATCAAATAGTACCAGTAGCGCAAGAGAAAGTAACTCCACACGTAATAAATTGTTTACTGCCCCTTTATTTTCTCCAGCCCAGGAACAAGAGAAGGTTGAGAAGGTGATTGACAGTCTGAAGGTGGAGGTGGGCAAGAGGGATGGGGAGATACGTCAGCTACAGCGTGTTCTTAAGGAAGCTGAGACAATCATGGTAGGACATGACTGGGTCATGTGATGGCTTGACTGAAGGGAGGACTTGACTGAAGGGAGGACTTGACTGAAGGGAGGACTTGACTTAAGGAAGCTGAGACAATCATGGTAGGACATGACTGGGTCATGTGATGGCTTGACTGTAGGGAGGACTTGACTGAAGGGATGACTTGACTGATTGGAGGACTTGACTGAAGGGATGACTTGACTGTAGGGAGGACTTGACTGAAGGGAGGACTTGACTGAAGGGAGGACTTGACTGAAGGGATGACTTGACTGAAGGGAGGACTTGACTGAAGGGAGGACTTCACTGAAGGGAGGACTTGAATGAAGGGAGGACTTGACTGAAGGGAGAAATTTACTGAAGGGAGGACTTGACTGAAGGGATGACTTGACTGTAGGGAGGACTTGACTGAAGGGAGGACTTGACTGAAGGGATGACTTGACTGAAGGGAGGACTTGACTGAAGGGAGGACTTCACTGAAGGGAGGACTTGAATGAAGGGAGGACTTGACTGAAGGGAGAAATTTACTGAAGGGAGGACTTGACTGAAGGGAGGACTTGACTGTAGGGATGGCTTGACTGAAGGGATGACTTGGCTGCTTGGATGGCTGGATTAAGTTGATGATTGTGATAATATATTTTGATAACATTGATAAGCTAGATACATGAATGGAAATGATGGAATGTGTTACACACCTCAAAATTTTCAGACACAATGTTATGATTGTTAAGATTGTTTAAACATTTTTTGTTTTAATTTTCTTTAAAGGCAACGGCTGTGTACCAAGCCAAACAAAAACTGGCAGCTGTGAGACAGGCACAACAAAACAAAATATCTTCTGAAGATCTCATCAAGTATGCACACAGGATCAGTGCAAGTAACGCAGTAGCGGCACCGCCCACCTGGAGTCCTGGTAAAGAAAAACATTTAACTTACGCTTGGCATTTTTAAAATAGATTTTCTTTGCTGTTGAATGATTTGACGAGCTTGTGACCTTAACCTACTTCTCTTACAGGTGATCCCAGGAGGCCGTACCCCACTGACCTAGAAATGAGACACAGCTGTTTGTCCATGGGATCATTCCCAGACACCACTACACTAAATCCAGTCATGAGAATGTACTCTCAAGGTAGATAACTCTTCTCTGACTAATCTGATAACTCCCCTAAGTTTTAAAATAAACCTACTGATTCTCCAAATTGGCACAACTCCAACAGTTTTATTTTTAAATTAGGACCTCACTGACATTTAATTATTGTTGTCACCATTTCCTCTTTGTTTCACATTTCCTTATTATTGTCACCATTTCCTTATTGTGTCACCATTTCCTTATTGTTGTCACCATTTCCTTATTATTGTCACCATTTCCTTATTGTGTCACCATTTCCTTATTGTTGTCACCATTTCCTTATTATTGTCACCATTTCCTTATTGTGTCACCATTTCCTTATTGTTGTCACCATTTCCTTATTATTGTCACCATTTCCTTATTGTGTCACCATTTCCTTATTGTTGTCACCATTTCCTTATCGTGTCACCATTTCCTTATTGTGTCACCATTGCCTTATTGTTGTCACCATTTCCTTATCATGTCACCATTTCCTTATTGTTGTCACCATTTCCTTATTGTTGTCACCATTTCCTTATCATGTCACCATTTCCTTATTGTTGTCACCATTTCCTTATTGTTGTCACCATTTCCTTATCATGTCACCATTTCCTTATTGTGTCACCATTTCCTTATTGTGTCACCATTTCCTTATTGTTGTCACCATTTCCTTATTGTTGTCACCATTTCCTTATTGTGTCACCATTGCCTTATTGTTGTCACCATTTCCTTATCATGTCACCATTTCCTTATTGTTGTCACCATTTCCTTATTGTTGTCACCATTTCCTTATCATGTCACCATTTCCTTATCATGTCACCATTTCCTTATTGTTGTCACCATTTCCTTATTGTGTCACCATTTCCTTATTGTTGTCACCATTTCCTTATCGTGTCACCATTTCCTTATTGTGTCACCATTGCCTTATTGTTGTCACCATTTCCTTATCATGTCACCATTTCCTTATTGTTGTCACCATTTCCTTATTGTTGTCACCATTTCCTTATTGTGTCACCATTGCCTTATCATTGTAACCATTTCCTTATTGTGTCACCATTTCCTTATTGTTGTCACCATTTCCTTATTGTTGTCACCATTTCCTTATTGTGTCACCATTGCCTTATCATTGTAACCATTTCCTTATTGTGTCACCATTGCCTTATTGTTGTCACCATTTCCTTATCATGTCACCATTTCCTTATTGTTGTCACCATTTTCTTATTGTTGTCACCATTTCCTTATCGTGTCACCATTTCCTTATTGTGTCACCATTGCCTTATTGTTGTCACCATTTCCTTATCATGTCACCATTTCCTTATTGTTGTCACCATTTCCTTATTGTTGTCACCATTTCCTTATTGTGTCACCATTGCCTTATCATTGTAACCATTTCCTTATTGTGTCACCATTGCCTTATCATTGTAACCATTTCCTTATTGTGTCACCATTGCCTTATTGTTGTCACCATTTTCTTATTGTTGTCACCATTTTCTTATTGTTGTCACCATTCCTTATTGTGTCACCATTTCCTTATTTTTACTTCTCAGAATCTCAGGCATCGTCTCACCATCAGACAACCCAGCCCAGCCTGGGTCACCATCAACAGTCTTCACAGCAAGCAGGGATGAGTCACCACCAACAGCCATCTCAGCAGTCGGGTCTAAGTCACCATCAACATTCATCCCAGCAGGCGGGCCTGGGTCACCATCCTCAGCAAACACATCACCACCAACAGCAGGGGATTCCCCCTCCCTACTCCTGGCAGCCTTCACAAGATGGCAGCCTGTCCTTGAACTCACACCACACCATCGCAGATAGCCTCAAGGGTCACTCTAAGGAGGAGGATGATGTGGAACTCATGTCCAGCGACTCGTCCAGTAGTAGTTCAAGTGATGAATGATGGATGGAGCCAGAGGGGTGACGTGGGGGGGGGGGGGGTGAATAATAGATAATAGGGAGTGACATGGGGACATTGGCAGGTATGTTGAGGGTAATGAGAAGTGGAAGCAAGTAGGTGTTGTGATAGGTGTGGGTTAGCCAGGGGTGCCGTGGGGGAGTGATGTGTTGATGTAGAGAATGAATAACTCTTCATCGAATGAACATTTTGCATGTTTTTGTTGTTACATTTTTTACTTTGCATTTATTGAATATGTTTAGGTGACCCACCAAATTTTTTTTTGAATGTCTTTGTGTGACCCAGTAAAAAAATGTCAAATAAAACTTGGGTGCTAAAAGACTGTTACTTGTGTGTTTGTTTATTTGTTTTATTTATTTATAAGTCTGTCATATGCTTTTTGATGTCTGTCCAGTTTAAGCAATACCATTTACAGCTGGACATAAAAAAAAACTTAACAAATCTCATAACTATAGGCAACATTTATCCGGAACACATTAGGGGAGCAGCCAAAAAAATACAGAACACAGAAATAACAATGAAAAGCTTGAGCTAAAGGAAAAAAGATTAAAAAAACCAGCACATTTTGTTGTGTTATAATGCCAGCAGGGATTGCTGCTTGTAGTACTTGTAGTATCATCTCTTATAAGTTTCAGTGTATCTGGGTATAAGTAAGTGTGACAACAAAACTGTAGCATTGCAAGAAACTAGAACATATACCAAAAGGCTAAATAAAAGTTAAAAAAAAATAGAGCACTGGAAAAGATACTATTTGAAAAATCTTTATCTTGGTTTTCAAATGTATTATTGGAGGGGTTACTTTATTTTTAAACCTTACGTGACACTACAAAGCCTTTGCCCATCCAAGCATAAAAGGCAGATGTTGTTTTGTCCTCAAGTAATGGGCTTCATCTGCCATGGGGGTCAGAACTTAGGACCCTAAAAGAAAAGAAATAACAGTATTATTTATTCTTGTTCAACATCTTGTTTGCCTCTATGTATTTTTATTATAAGAAAGCCAGTTGAAAATATGACATGAAACTGAACTATGCGATGTTCTGTCTAAGAAAAATAATCATGTTATTATTGCTTCATTGCTCATAATTTGTAGGTTATCCCTCTTTGAATTTCCAAGTTCAATAAAATATCGATTACTTTTATGGTCAAAGGGGAACAAACATGAAAATTATTCACTTAGTAGTTAGCAGAAGTTACCTCACTTTAATACTTTTTTGAATATTTTAAACATTAAAATTTTTATTAACAATAGTTTTATTAAAATCATTAAAATATTAAAGCAAAATAATCTCGGATAAAGTTCGAAGATGTTAAAATTAATTATATTATTATTAAAATGATTGTTTCTTTAGGTAGTATTATTAAGTAGTGTTATAATTGATTCTTAGTCAACGTAAAGGTAAATTTAAAGTAAGCCTACTGATTCCCACTATTTAATTTTTATTATTAGTAAAGTTGTTTAAATTACCAAAATTTATTCTTAGAATAATAATCATGTTATTATTGTTGCTTATAATTTTATTGGTTATTCCTCTTTGATTTTCTAAGTTCAATAAAATATCGATTGTTTTATGGTCAAAGGGGAAGAAACATGAAAATTAGTCATTTCGTAGTTTAGCCGTGGTTATGTCGCTTTAATATTTTAATTATTTTATGCACTTTTTATTAATACTATACTAATTTAATTTAAATCATTAAATATTTTAGCAAAATAATTCTTGCTAAAGTATGAAGACTTTACCATTAATTATGCTATTTTTAATTATTTTTTTTCTTCGAGTAGTATTATTAACTAGTAGAATAAATTGATTCTTGGTCAACGTAATGTTGAATTTCGAGTAACTTACTGATTTCCCTCTATTCCGCTTTTATTATAAGTAAGTTTGTTTAGATTATTAAAATATAATAATCGAATGATTATTCTAAGAAAAATAATCATGTTATTATTGTTTGATTGCTTAAAATTTTATTGGTTATTCCTCTTTAGATTTCTAAGTTCAAAAAAATATCGATTGTTTTATGGTCAAAGGGTAATCATCTAAATATTTAAGAGAAATAATCTTGGGTAAAGCCCAAAGATGTTAAAATTAAGTATATTATTATTATTATTGTTTGTATGAGTAGTATTATTAACTATTAATATAATTGATTCTTGGTTAAAACCTAAAGTTGAATTTAGAGTAACTTAATGATTCCATGTATTTTAAATTTTCTTATTAGTACGTTTGTTTAGATTATCAAAATATAATATCGACTGATTATTCTAAGAAAAATAATCATGTTATTATTGTTTGATTGCTCATAATTTTATTGGTTACTCCTCTTTGAATTTTAAAGTTCAATAAAATATCGATTGCTTTATGGTCAAAGGGGAACCAACATGAAAATTGTTCGCACCGTAGTTTGGCAGAAGTTATCTCGCTTTAACATTTTAAAAATATTATTATACTAGCCGTCCCGGCCAGGCCCTGCTCTGGCTTCTGTGAAAAACCTTTCTGTTAACGACCATTACATGTGTGTTTAGTAATCATCATAAACCCGGCATTGCCCACCCAAACCACAACCAACCAAAACAACAAAACGCAAACATAACGCTAACACAATTACAAATACAAACGAAAACAAAAACCTAACAACAAACCCAACCACAACCACAAACACCAATACAAACACAAAGAAAAAACAAACAAAAAAGCAAACGAAAACAAAAACCTAACAACAAACCCAACCACAAACACCAATACCAAAAAAAAAAAAAAAAAAAAAAAAACGAAAAAGCAAACGAAAACAAACCAAATCCAAACGCAAAACCAACCAAAAACACAAATACAAACCCAAACAAAAAAACACAAACAAAAACGAAAAAAGAAAGAACGAAAACAAACCAAATCCAAACGCAAAACCAACCAAAAACACAAATACAAACCCAAACAAAAAAAACACAAAAAAAAACGAAAAAAGAAAGAACAAAAACGAACCAAATCAAAACGCAACCACTAACGCAAACCCACCTAAACACAAAGAAAACACTAACGCGAACATAAACGCCCGGGGCAGAATCGCCTGTTTTAGCTTAATAAACGACTATAGTACCCCAACTTATTCATAGTTTTTGCACTCACTTAAACGAACGCGCCTGTTTCAATTTAATGAACAATTATAATACCCCAAGCTTATCCGTAAAATACCTACAACATTTGCACTTGATCAATCCCCGCTAATTATGTAATTATTTTTTTCCCAACACCAAAACAAAGTAATTAAAAAGTAAATGCTTTTCAACTAATGCAATGGTTTCGTAAAGGGAAGTAATTGTGTTTTGCCTAATTTATCAAAGGGAAGTAAGCGCTATAGGACTAAATAAAAACATAATTAGAATTTTTGTAAAAGATGATATTTTTTTAAAACTTGTGTTTAATGAACATGCCGACAATTATTACTATAATTTGAAAAATGAAAATGATTTCCCAACACTTTTAAAAGTAATTTTTTAACTCATAAATTTAGACAAACGCGCACGATAATTGATCTAACACTTAAATCCGTAGAAATGCCAACGACAAACATATGCGTTACAGAATTGAGCTTTATATATTAGATTAAACATTCTTTAAAAATCCATAAAATTAATTTGATTTAAATCATGAAAATATTTAAGCGAATTAATCTCGGGCTATGTCCGAATATGTTACCATTAATTATAGTATTTTTGAAACTATTTTTTCTTCGAGTAGTTTTATTAGCTAGTATAATTGATTCTTGGTCATCGTTAAGTTGGATTTTTAGTAACCTAAAATATCGATTGTTGTATGGTCAAAGGGGAATAAACATGAACATTGTTCACTCCATAGTTTAGCAAAAGTTATCTCGCTTAAGTATTTAAAAAAAAAAAAAAAAAAAAAAAAAAAAAAAAAAAAAAAAAAACATTATTATTAATTTTATTAAAAGCATCTAAATATTTAAGAGAAATAATCTTGGGTAAAGCCCAAAGATGTTAAAATTAAGTATATTATTATTATTATTATTGTTTGTATGAGTAGTATTATTAACTATTAATATAATTGATTCTTGGTTAAAACCTAAAGTTGAATTTAGAGTAACTTACTGATTCCATGTATTTTAAATTTTCTTATTAGTACGTTTGTTTAGATTATCAAAATATAATATCGACTGATTATTCTAAGAAAAATAATCATGTTATTATTGTTTGATTGCTCATAATTTTATTGGTTACTCCTCTTTGAATTTCAAAGTTCAATAAAATATCGATTGCTTTATGGTCAAAGGGGAACCAACATGAAAATTGTTCGCTCCGTAGTTTGGCAGAAGTTATCTCGCTTTAACATTTTAAAAATATATTAAACATTCTTTAAAAATCCATGACAATTAATTTGATTTAAATCATTAAAATATTTAAGCGAATTAATCTCGGGCTATGTCCGAATATGTTACCATTAATTATAGTATTTTTGAAACTATTTTTTCTTCGAGTAGTTTTATTAGCTAGTATAATTGATTCTTGGTCATCGTTAAGTTGGATTTTTAGTAACCTACTAGTTCCCCCTATTTAATTGTTTTATTAGCAAGGTTGTTTACATTATCAAAATTGATTGACGGACAGTTTTTTCTAAGAAAAAATAATCATGTTATTATTGTTTCATTGCTGATAATTTATAGGTTATGCCGCTTTGAATTTCTAAGTTCAATAAAATATCGATTGTTTAGGGTCAAAGGGGAACAAACATGAAAATTGTTCACTCCGTAGTTTATCAGAAGTTATCTCGCTTCAACATTTTAAAAATTTTACATTTTTTTTTAAAAAATCATTAATATTAATTTTATTAAAATCATCAAAATATTTAAGCGAAATAATCTCGGGTTTTGTCCGAACATGTTAACATTAATTATAGTATTATTAAAATTATTGTTTCTTTGAATATTATTATTAACTAGTAGGCCTACTATTGGTGATACTGAAAGTCATCAGCAATGTCGATTAATAAAAGGTTCAAAATCT